GCGCGATCGAGCGCGGGCGAGGGAGGACGGCGACGCGTGGGCGAACGCGCGGGGCGGGGTGTCGATCGCGCGTGGGTGACGTGCGCGCGCGCGCGCGGGACGACGGCGACGATGGGACGGTGACCGTGGACGATGCCGCCGTCGTCGATGATCGAACGGATGGGGTGGACGTGCAGGACGCCATGGCGTCGTTCAGCGAGGCCGCGGGCGGGGCGATGGATAAGATTTCGCGCTGGGGAGACGTCCTGGCGTCGCGGACGGTGGATTTAGACGTGGTTGAGATCGTCGAGGAGGACGTCGTGGAGGAGACGAAGCGTGGTGGTTTTGGTTTACCCGCGTTGCCGAGCTTTGGGACGAAGCGAGAGGTGGAGGAGGAGGTTGACGAGGAGGCGCCGCGGGCGAAGGGGTTGGCGGATTTTTTCGGGAGCGCAAAGGAAAAGGCTGTCCGAGAGCGGGCGGAACCGGTGGCGAAGAAGTCTGGTTTCACGTTTAAGAGCGAGAAGAAGGTGACGCCCGCGAACGCGGAGAAGGCTCCGGCGAAGAAGTCGTCATTTTCGTTCGGTAAGAAGGCGGCGGCGGAGGAACCCGTCGAGGAAGCGACGGCGAAACCGGCCAACGGGTTCGCGGCGATTTTGCAAAAGAGCTCGCGACGAATCGATGACACGCGCGCGATTTTGGAAAAGGATATGGAGGAAGGCGTCGCGGCGCAGCGACGGCTGCGCGCTTCTCGTGAGGCTGGCGGTGCCGCCGTCGCCGCGTTCACCGGCGGCCAAGTCGGCGAGGGTACGTGGACGTTCACGCAAATCATCGACGAGGAGGACGGAAGCAAGGGCAAGAAGCTGCCACCGTTGAAGATCAAGCGCGGTGAGACGAAGATCATCGGCCGGTCCAAGGGTCCGGGCGTAGATCTCGTCGTTCCGCTCAACTGCGTCAGCTCGGTGCACGCCGAGCTCATCACCGAAGGCAACAAGCTCTACATTCAAGACCTCGGCTCGACGAACGGTACGTACGTCGAGGGGTTCGAGGTTCGTAAGGATAAAAAGTTTCGCATCTTCAACGGTGCCGAGGTCCGATTCGGCGCCGAGAACTTCAACGGCGAGCAGTACGCCAAGTACAAGGCCACCTTGGCGGGCGCCAAGGAGTTGGAGAAGGACAGCGAGTACGGTCAGTTGAACTACTTCATGGAGTACCTCGGCGGTCCGCGCACGGTTGTGAACTTTTTCTTCATCAACGCCATTTTCCAAGCGACGTTTTTCATCCTGATCAAGCTCAACGCTGACTAAGCCGCAGAGAACAACGCTCACCGAGCCGCGTGTAAAAAACCTTGTAGTGATGAGAACAAGAATGAATGCATAAAACTACAGCCTACGGGATCGTGCGATTCCTCGCTATGACCTACAGCGCATCGGAACAGTGCGTCATGGTGACGTCCCCACGTCTCACGCCGTCTTTAACACGCGCACGGCGTCGCGCAAGAAGTACGCGGTGCCAACTAGAAAACAGGCGCTGCCGATCAAATAAAAAACCGAGCCCACAAAGTAATCCGAGGCGAGCAAAACGCTCACCGCGGGCATGTTCGCGTCCGAACCGAACGCGCGGAGCCGCGCTCGTCGCTCGCGCGCGATGAACGGACCTTGGGCGTCGACGACACGCGTTCCAGTGTGAGGGGGGGGTGACGCGACTGCAAAACGACTACGCGATGACTTCTAGATTCTGTTTGCCTCGCGCTCGAGCCTGTTTCTCCGTCTCTTGAATCGCCATGTTAAACGTTTCCAGTGCTCGACGCTTTCGGATGTCGTTCCGACGAACAACGCGCCGATTCTCGATGGCGACGCAGAGCGCCCGCGACGTGGGCATCACGAAGAAAATGGTCGCGTACACGACCAGGAGCGGCATCATGATGCGACAGAGCCAAGGGAAGAGCTCGAGGAACAGGATCACCAAAGGTGGCTCATCGGAGATATCGATGGCCACGGGAGAGTCATCGCGAAATCGACCGGCGCGACGTCCCATCGTCTGCTTTTGTCTGGGCTCGAGCGGAACGCGCTCTCGCGGCTTGAGGTCCATTCCGCCCAAGGCGTGGAAGACGTAAATCATGAAAATATTCAGGAAACCGAGCGCAACGACGAGGGGCATCTTAGGCCCGCTCTCCCACAGAGGTCTAACTCGTTCGTAAATCGGCGGCGGCGTCGGCGGTGGAACGGCTCTCCCGGGCGTTGATCGACTAGACGCCGCCGCCTCGGCAATGGTTGTCACCTGAAGACTCGGGAACACGTAAATGAGCTTGCCGTCGTCCGAGGCCTCCGCGTGACCGCCGAAACGCGTCAATACCTCCAACATGTAGCCCTCGTGCATCTTCGACGTATCTCTTTCGTTCTCTGCCTGCTTTTTCCTGAAAATGCGTCGCGCGTGGCTGACGACATCAAAGATGCTCGCAAATAGTCCATTCTTGACCTCGTTGTGATCCTCTTTGCTCAGAAGGTATGAATCTAAGAATGGTGCGACTTGTTCGGCGTACACGCACCCCTTGTTCACGCGCAGCAGGGCACCGACCGCGCGCCAACGTCTCGTTTCCAGGCGCTCGTTTGGATCGCCTCGTCCAAAGACAAAGGCAAAAATGGACTCCACAAAGGTCAATTCTCTTCCTCGATCGAGCCAATCGTCCTCGTCTTCGTCGTCATCACCGTCATCATCTTCATTCCCGTTCGCGCGTCGTCTCCCGGGAACGTTCGCTGCGTTCGGTCGACCGCGCTCGGGATCGTCCCGTCTCGCGTCTTCATCCGGTCCGCCACCCGGTCCGCCGCCTGAACCGCCCGCTTGACCAATGTTCCCCGGCTTCACGACTTCCGATTCGACTCCATACCGAGCACGCTCGTACATCGCCCGATCCCTCCTCGCCATGTCGTTCCACAGCATCAAATCGATGAGGTCTCTCATGTAGAGGTAGTACCAAAAATCCGCGTTCGGTCCGACGAACACCGTCCCCCCACCACCCCCGCCTCGATTACCCCCGTGCCCTCTGGACATCGCGATTACGATCACCGCTACCACCGCCATGGTCGTCAACGCCGCGCTGACGACTAAAAACGTCCCGAACGCCGCTCGGACGACCCGCATCGCGCTTCGCTGCGCCGCCCTTCTCGCCGCCGCCGCGCGCGCCTGCACGTCTCGCGCCATCACCACCGCTCGCACGCGTCTCGGCACGACGTACACCACCTCGTTCGTCTCGCGATCGACGTCGAGGTGCCCACCCACGAGCTCCACGGCGATTATGACCCGTCCGCGAAGCGACTCCGCGTCCGCGTCCAGCGCGTGGGACTCCTGGAGCAACAAATCCCCGAGCGTGAACCGAGGTCCCACGCGTTCGAGCGCGCGATGCAGCGTTCGGTCATCGCGCTCGGCCATCGTTCGAGCGTCGTCGGCGCTCGAGCGCGCGCGCGGTGGACGACGCGGTGTTTGGAGATATTTTCAATCTCCGGCTCGACCACCGCACGCGTCGACGCGGGCGCGGACGGGCGCGCCGCGCTCGAGCGCGCGCGATCGCGGACGCAATGCTCGCCTCGCGCGCGCCGCGCGGACGTCTCGGCGTCGCGAACGCGTCGTCGAGGTCTGTCGACGAGCGCGTTCGTTCAGCCGCCGAGAGGCGACGGAGAGAGGCCGACGACGCGAGCGCGCGCGCGCGTTCGCGGCGGACGAGGAAGACGATCGAGGCATTGCGTCGCGTCCGTGGGTTTTTCGAGCTCGGGGGGGTCGAGGCGTACGAGACGATCGATGAGACGCAGCGGGAGACGTTCGGGTTGGGGACGCGCGAGACGGCTCTGGCGGAGATCGGCGTGTATCACGGGCGGTCGTTCTTGGCGCTGACGGCGATGCGGGGAAGCGAAGAGAAGTGCATAGCGATCGATTGCTTCGCGGAGCAAGATTTTAACGTCGATGAGAGCGGGAGAGGGGATTTGGATAAGTTTACGAAGAACGCTCGACGCTTTTGGCGAGGCGGCGGGGAGTCGGCGGACGACGAGTCGGTGGACGGACTGCCCAGTTTCATCGAGATCGTGCAAGGAAATTCGGTAGACTTGGCACCGAGAGATATTGTGGGCGACGGTGGGATCAAAGTGCGGATATTCAGCGTCGACGGATCGCACACCGCGGAGGCGACGCTCTCCGATTTACGCCTCGCCGAGGCGTGCTCGCATGCTCACGGCGTCATCATCTTAGACGACTGTTTCAATCCCGATTGGCCCGGATGTATCAGTGGACTTTCACAATACCTTGCACACGGTGGTAAGTTCGTACCGTTCTGCATCGGACACAACAAAGTCTTCTTAAGCACGGCCGAGGATTCGGCGACATACGCTCGCGCATTCGCTCCGGCAGCGAGGAAAAACGCCGAGCTCTTCGGGCACGACTGCGTCGTCCTCAAACACGGCTGGATCGCCACATTTCATGCCAATGACGACACTCGAGCGATTTAGGGATTAGTTCACTAGTTAGCCTGCTTTACATTAAGAATATGCGCAAGAATATGTACGCTTTGGCCTTCAATCACACGCGAACGACATAGGATGAGCTCTTGGTGAGGTATCTGATCCATCTATGCGGCGCTCGCGGTGGAGCTTCGTCATCTAACGGATCCAGAGGTCGATTTCCGACGACTTGGAGGTAACGTACGGCGAGCGCGCTCGCGCAAAAGGTTGGAATCTGAAACGAGAGCGACAGCGGACCAATCTCCCGACGTACGTTAGGAATGCGCTCGCTTTGCAGCGCAATCTGCACCGAGCACTCGTGATCTGAACCACCGGCAAACTTCTTGAATTGCCAGACGATTTGCTTCTCTGCAGCGTCGAACATGACATGTTGCGAGCCAGACGGAACAGATTTTGGAAGCCGTCCCGTGGCGCCAAGGGCGCCCTTGGGAATCGGCAGGTTCACGATCAACCCCGTGCACGTATGCTTCGAAGGGAAGTCTGCGAAGAGCTTGAGCTCCACACCCACCTTATACGGCACACTCTCGTCGAAGATGGCGATCACCTTGAACGGCGGCTTGAAGTTGCCGGCGCTTCTATAATTCATCAACGAAAACTCACCCTGAGGCGGTCGAAGCGTGATAGTTCGATCGACATCGAACTGTTCCAACTTTGCCGACTCGTGAAAGTTGCAATCATCCAGGATGACGCCCGCGTAATTGCCCCTCGCGCTCGTGCCTTTGCCGCCTATGGTCAAGTCTTCCGACAGCGCCATCTTCACCTTGGTGCCAGCACCTTGCAAGAAGTTCCTCACCTGAATGTGCCCGTTGATCTCCGACGTCACCACGTCACCGTTCGCGCTGAAAGTGACGTTCAGCTTTTCGATGATGTCCACGAAAATCTCATCCCTCGTCGTCGCGCTCGACGCGCTCACCACGCTCTTCTGCGTCGCACTGCTCGACACTCTATTCACCCCGCTCGCCACCGACGCCGCGTTCATCAGATTAATCGCCGCCTTCGTTGGGAAGTTAACCTTCACCCCCAAGTTGTGCTTCAACACCGCCTCGACCTTTTGTCCAGCCTTGAACGCTCCTTGCGCCACCGCGCGCGCGCCGTCCGCCTTCGCGCTCACCAGCACCCCCGCCAAATCGTCTCCGGTCTCGACCGGCTCGCTGCACACGCGCTCTCGCAGCATCTCCGTCGACGTCGTCTGCGCGTACCCGTAATCCATCGCCTCATCGATCACCTCGCTCACCAGGGTTGAATTCTTCCGCACCGCGTCCTCCGTCAGCGCGCCGCAATAATCCTTCACCAATCGCGCCAATCGCCCGAGGAGCTCCAACACCGCGCTCGGCGACCCGTTCGAGGTCGTCGTCGCGACGAAATACAACCCGCTCGCCTTGACGTGCAAGTAGTTCACGCCGTCGCGCTCGAACGCGGGCGGTGGCGATGCGTTCGTCTTGGTCGTTCGATTCGATCTCACCGAGGACCGCTCGTTCGAGCTCCAAAACCGCGTCGAGCGGTAGAAATCCTCCCTCGACGTCGACGGAACGTCACCGCGGAAGTCCCTGTGCGCCAACGCGTCCCCGCGCGGGCCCAGGATGAAGAATTGGGAGATGAGCATCGCTGCGGTGCGTCGACGTGTGCGATCGTTACTTTTGGGCGTCCAGACGTCGCCGTGCGCGCTCGCACGCGCGGTCGCGCGAGCGTCGAAGCGAGGGAACGCGGTCGAGATGGGCGACGACGCGGACGATCGAAGCGGGGGCGTGAGCGCGGTGAGCGCTTTGAGTTTATCAGTCGTGAGCAGCGTGTCGTTGGTCATCGTGAATAAGCGATTGATCAGCGAGTACGGGTTCAGAGAGGGTGCGTGAGGGATCGAAAAGATGTTTACGATCGCGCGCATCGATCGTGCGTTTGGGAGATCGTTCGGTGGAGCGTTGGACGAGTGAGACGAGGGAGATCTTGGGTTTAGGCGCGCGCGCGCGGAGACTAACCGTCGGCACGTTTTCCGGCGCGCAGTGACTTTTCTGACCGCCATGCACATGGTGCTCACGGGATTGGTGTTGCGATTCGCGTCGAAGATGGGGTACTTTGAGAGGAAACCGGTGGCGCGCGGGGAGGTGATCAAGTTTGGGATTTTGAACAGCGCGTCGGTGGCGCTGTTGAATCTCTCCTTGGGGTTCAACTCGATTGGGTTTTATCAGATGACCAAATTGAGCATCATCCCGGTGACCGTGGGGTTACAGATGATGTATTTTAACAAGAAGTTCAGCGCCGGGGTGAAGATGAGCTTGATGGTCTTGATCTTTGGCGTCGGCGTGTCGACGGTTACCGACGTCCAACTCAACGCCACGGGCGCGGTGCTCGGGGCGTTATCCGTCATCACGACGTCTTTGGGGCAAATTCTCACCGGATCATTACAACAAAAGCTCGGTTTGAGCTCGACCCAGCTCCTGTGCGCGTCGGCGCCCTGGATGGCGCTCACGCTCGCCGTGCTCGCTCCGCCGGTGGACGGAGCGCTCAACGGCGGCGACTTACTCAAAGCCAACTACCCCCCCGAAGTGCTCACCATCGCCGCCATCTCCTGCGCCCTCGCGATCGCCGTAAACTTCGCCACCTTTGCCGTCATCGGCAAGTGTTCCGCCGTCACGTACCAAGTCGTCGGCCACCTCAAGACGATTCTCATCTTGTCCTTTGGTTTCGTCGTCTTCGGCGACCCGCTCGTCGCCAAGAACATCCTCGGCATCGCCCTCGCCCTCGTCGGGATGGTCTTATACGCCAGGGCCGAGCTCCGCGATCGCGCCGCCGCCGCCCGCGCCGCGGTCGAGGACGACGCCACCCGCGCCAAGGCTTCGGCGTAGGACGCGCGTCGAAGCGTCCCACCCAGAGTCGTGCACCGACTGGCGAGACCGACCGTCCTCGAAACACCCGCGTGTGCAATGAACCCATCGCGCGCCCACCCTAGGTCGTCCCCACTCGACGCCCGTCGTCGACGTCCGCGCTCGATGCCCCCCTCGAGCGCGCGCGGGCCCACGTCGGGGGTCGACCCGCGCGCGGTGCGTCGCGCGATCGAGACGCGATCGACCTCGAGCGCGCGCGGGCGAACGACGCGCGAATGCCCGGGACAGACCCTGGTTGGGACGACGACTTCGACGACGACGACGACGACGCGACGGACGGCGAAGGGATGGAACGACGTCGACGCGCGCGCGGTGGATGCGTGTGACCGCGCGCGTGGCGGTGCGCTCGGCGTGCGCGCGGTGGTGGGCGTCGAAAGCGAGGGATGGGACGGATGGGCGCGCGGGACGGGACACTGACGAAGGGCGCGCGAACGCAGGTGCCGGCGCTGGTGATGCGAAGCGTGGAGAACGCGCGCGTGGCGATAGACGATGGGAAGCTGGATACGGCGATAAAGGCGATGAAGAGCACGGACGCGCTGTGCTCGAGGGTGGTGGCGCCGCCGACGGTGCACGGGTTGTGCCTGCGCGTGTTGGCGGACGCGTACGTGAGTAAAAAGGCCGCCGAGGGGGCGGGAGGGCTCGCGGGCGGGGCGATGACGGAGGGCGACGGCTCGGGAGGCGGTGAGGCGCAATCGAGCGGTGAGGGCGACGATGGGGTGAATGAAGATTACGCGGAATTGGCGAAAGAGGCGTTGAAGAGGGGTATCGATATGTGCAAGGTGCACGAAGGCAAGGCGGGCATGAACGCGTACATGAGGCACGATTTGTTGGGACGCTTAGGAGATCTCTACGCCGCGCTCGGGGAAATTTATAGGGAAGAGGGGAACCATAAAGAAGCGATCAGGGCGCTTCGACATGGTTTAGCACGGTTCGAGAAGAACAATCAGAACGATTTCACCGCGGCTACGTACAATCGCGTCGCGTACTGTTACATGGAGCAAAGCGTGTGGGACGCCGCCTTGGACACGCTCCAGAGCGCCGAGCGCGCGGCCACCGGCAACGACGCGGAGTCCATCTTGCTCAGTACCACGCACGCCTACCGCGCGCAGTGCTATCGCGCGTTAGATCAGATTCAGCCCGCGCGCGAAGCCTTTGAGAAGGCGCTCACGTTTGCCATGGCGTGCGGCAACGAGCCCGTCGTTCGCGAGGCGGAGGAATTCTTAGCCGAGACCCAGGCGCACAGCGCCGTGGACGATTCCGCCTTCCTCTGACCGAGTTGTCTTCGCACCGCGCACCGCGAGCACCCGCATCCGTTGAAATTTCCAGCCCAGACGCGAGCGCGCAGTTCGGTCACCGTCCCCGCGCGCGACGCCACGTCACCCATCCACGATTCATGACTCGTCACACAGGGACTCCACACGACGGTTAATCACATCAATCAATCAACCCATCGACGCCATCGCGCGCGTCGCATCCCGACGCGCGTCGTCGTCCCCTCGCGCGCGCTCGATGCGACCGTCGAGCACGCTTGGACGCGCGCCGGCGCCGTCGGCCGTCGCGCGCGCGCGCGAGACGAGCGCGAGCGAAGGACGCGTGGACAATCACGACGACGCGACGTCGAACGGACGATCGTCCGACGATCGCGCCCGACGCGGCGCTCTCACGCGGTCGACGACCACGCAGGCGCAGACGCGCGCGACGGCCATGGCGGTGGACGCGCGATCGTGGCGAGGGTTCGCGCGAGGGAAGGTGAACGGGATGGGGGTGCGATTGAGCGCGCTGTTGGTCTTATTCTTGAGCTTCGTCGTCGTCACGGAGTGGGTGCGCGATCGTGAAGGCGAGCGGTTCTCGGCGTTCACGCCGAGGTTGATTCGGCAGCAAAGGGCGGTGGACGCGCGAACGGGAGAGCGGTTGATGGTGTCGGGGGACGTGAACGCGAACGCGAGCGCGACGGGGCCGGACCCGTTTGAGGATTTGCGAACGTACGTCGATCACGGTGTGGTGAGGCTCGAGGCGGAGGTGTGCGGGTCGACCTCGCTCATGGCTTTGACCGTGTTCGCGGTGTGCGCGAGCATCGGGTTGAACGATATAATGTGGACGCCGTCGAGGTCGAGGCGGAGTGTGAGCTCCACCGTGCTTTACATTACGATCGTCGCGTGTTACACGCACTATTTGATGGTCCAAGGTTCGGATCTCCTGAAGCAAGGGGTCGAGGGGACGTATTACTCGCTCCTGCGGTACCTCGAGTGGATGATGACGACGCCTGTTCTGTTAATTTTGGTATTTCAGCTGCACGCGCTCTGCGTCGGCGACGAAAGGGCGCCATACAGGACGGATATGTGGTGCGCATGCATCGCCGATGAAATCATGCTCATCACTGGATGGCTTACGAACGAGCTCTCGGGTAAAGTGCACGGAGTTTGTCTCACTATTTCCATGTTGTGCTTCACGTACGTCATCTCGAGGTGTGTTGGACTGTTCCGGGAACTCCTCACAAGCAATCTGGTAGCCGGCGATCGCATGCGATTCATCATCCTCGCATGCGCTAAGACAATCTGTTGGACGTCGTTTCCGATTGTTTACATGGCGAAAGAGATGGAATTCATCGACACGAGCGCCGAGCACGAGTGGTTTCTGAGTTGCGATGTGTTGACAAAGGCGGTGTATTGCTTGCTGCTCTCTGCTGGGAGCATTCGCGTCTTGGACGTCACTCGAGACGAAGAATTGGCCGACATTGAGCGCTTGACGAAAATGCAGCGCGAGTTCTTCTTCAATATCACCCACGAACTGCGGATGCCGTTGAACTCTGTGATTGGGTTTAACACTCTCGCCGTGGAATCTGGCGAGCTCACGGATGTCACGAACGGCTTCATCAAGAACTCGCTCACTTCTGCCGAGGCGCTTCTCGGTTTGATCAATCAGGTGCTCGACTACGCGAAATTTAACAGAAAAGGCGTCGAAGTTTCCGGAGGCCACGGCTTGGAATTGTCCAATGACAACTTCACTCTCGAGGAACTGATAGACCAGACATTGAGCATCTGTCAGCGCGCGGATTACACGGGCAACTTGTTTGTTCGCATCGATCCGAGTTTGTTCCCGATGACGTACATTTGTGACTTCTTTCGTTTACGGCAGTGTCTGGTGAATTTGGTGAACAATGCGTTGAAGTTTTCGAACCATCTTGATCGGCCCGGGTGCGTTATGATTGATGTTCGCGGTTACCTCGACGAATCAGAGGCTCACTTGACCTTTTCCGTGGAGGATAACGGAGTGGGGATTCCAGAAGAGAGACAGAGCGCAGTCTTTGTGCCGTTCAGCCAGCAATCGGATTACTCTGCGCTTCGAGTACAGGGCACCGGTCTCGGCTTGACCATCACAAAGACCATCATCGAGCTCATGGGGGGCACGATTCATTTCACGTCCAAGGAGGACGTCGGCACCAAGTTCAACATTTCACTTCCCATGGGGTACAAGTCGGCTGACAAGATGAGAATAGCGCCAAAAAATCTCATGGCACTCATCGGCCTGCGCCCTGGACTGCAAATGCGCACTCTTCGAAATATTTTGGCATGCTATCAGCTCAACGTGCGAGACATGATTGAAGTGGGTCTCGTGGGACAGGATCGCGAGCAAGTGGAACATTACATTATGCACGGACATACATCGAACAAACACGTTGTGTTGTGCATCGAAGAGGAGCAGTACTTCCAGAACGAAGATTGGTTGAAGTCGATCAAGCCTGAACCGAAGATCATGATTATATCCAAGTCTTCGCGAATGAAGGATTTACCGCACGTCGCCAACGTGCGATCCATCATGAAACCTGTCGCCATGATGCCAACAATCGAAGCTTTGGAATACTTCTCCCGAGAGGGAGAGGGAGAATGTTTCGTGGACGAGACAGAGTCGCAGGGGGTCGGTTCCATAATGAAGTCAGAAAGTGACACAGCGGCAAGCAAGTCCGCCACTGACCTTGATGGAGACGTAGATATCAGCTCGATGCGCGTGCTTCTCGTCGAGGACAACAGAATGAATCAGCAAGTCGCCATTCAGAGCATGAAAAAGTGTCGGGTGACCGTTGACGTGGCTGACAATGGGTTGATTGCGACACAGATGATAGAGGACACCATTCACGGCGTCATAGCGCCCTATGACGTCATATTCATGGACGTGATGATGCCAGTGATGGATGGGAATGAGGCGACGAGGAAGATTAGACAGATGGAGAAGGAGGCGCCAGAGACATATAAGCGAAATCTCATCATCGCGCTCAGCGCGAACGTTGGGCCCGAGCACACGATCGCAGTGACGGAAGCTGGCTGTGACGGTTCTTTGGGAAAACCGTTTTACCCGAGCACGCTGAGACAGCTGTTATATTCCATCTTCATGGACGAGTACGAGGGGTTCGCCGCACAAGAGACCTTCTTTGCTCGTCCGGGATAACTTATTAAGAACGTTCGTTCGCTAGAGTAATAAAGTAACAGTCATGCGTTCTGTTCTGTTGTAAACAATTTTGCCACCACACGCTCTCTTTCGCAAACGCCGTGCATCACCATGGCCTCGACTTCGTCCATTGACACCGAATCGAACCCTAACGCGTCCCACCATACGCGTCCGTCCTTGGAACGCCTCAACGTGCGCTCACAATCCAATATCTTGCTCGCATAGCGCACAGCCGCTGCAGCGAGCGTTGCTTCGTCCGCTCGTCCAGTTGTCAAACCGTCAATCTCAAAAAGTGCATCCATGAGCACCGTGATCGTCGCTTGCGCTAGATCGCTCCCACCCTCGATCAGACGCACCAAATGCAACGCCACGGCGTGCGGTTTATCGAAGTTGAGCTCGTAATTCACCGCCCGCAAAACCTCCGACTCGAGCTCGAGCGCGCGCGCCTTGTACGCGCGATACCGCCCCCCTACAATTACCCACTCGGCCCCAACCTCCACGCCTTCGTCCTCACCGTACCCCGCTAATCTCGCGCCCTCTCTCGACTCCCGCTTCTCCTCCTCACTGACTTCGATCACCGCCCTCTGCTCGACGCCGAGGCCGCAACGCTCGAGCGTGTGCGCCGCGTTCGCGCACGCGTTCGCGCAATCCGACATCCCGACCACGCTCTCTTCGAGCTTACACGCTAAAAACGTACACGTCATGCACACAATGTCCGCCGCGTACCGCTCCGCCCGCGCGTCGCTCGTCGACGGCGTCTCTTCCTCGGCATCGACTTTTTTGTAGAGTTTCTCAGCGAGCGTCACAGCGCACGCGCACGTGTCGATCGGGAGGTTTAAGATCTCGCACGTCAACCGCAGGAGTTTTCGGCAATCGGCGCGACGACGCGCGGACGTCGACGTCGTCATACGACGCGTCGCTCTGTGGAGGGACGTCGCTTGACGGTGTATTTAAAGCTCTTCGCTCGCGCGCGCGATCGCGACGTCAGAGACGCTCGCGCGCGCGCGAGCGATCGAGTACCGTCGCGTTCGTGATCGAGGCGCCGCGACTCGACGTTGCGCGCTCGAACGGCGCGACGGGACGCGCAGTTGACGGTGACGGTTCGACTTCAATGGAAAACCGACGCTCGATCGGGGAGCGCGTTCGACGCGCGCGGGCGCTCGCGCGCGACCCCACGTCGAGGGCGAGCGATATAGAGGAATTACTCGATCGTGACGACGCGTCACCGGCGGTGACGATCGCGTTCGCGGGTGCGAGCGGGTGCGGGAAGACGGCGCTCGCGCGGAGCTTCTTCGCCGAGAGCGCGAGACGAGACGGGCGCGAGCGCGGCGATTGGCGCGCCGCGCCCACGATCGGCATAGACTTCGGCGCGTGCCCGATCACGTTCGAGGACGAGACCGAACCGAGGCGCGTTCGAGGACGATTCCTCGATCCGAGCGGCGCCGTCGGATACGAGGCGTGTCGCTCGGCGGCGTACGCGGACGCCGACGGCGTCGTCCTCGTCCTCGATCCCACGCGCGGCGGCGCCGACGCGCGCACCGTGGAAACCATCCTTCGCGAGATCGCGGACGCCCGCGCGTCGCGCGCGGCCCCATCGGCACCCGCGAAGATCCTCCTCGCCCTCTCCGCGCGAGCGCCATCCATCGTCGAGACGACGCGTCTTCGAGCGCCATCGTCCGCGATCGACGCCGCGATCGCGCGCGCGATGACGAGTGAGATCTCCACCGCCGCCCTGCGCCTCGCGCGATCGCGCGCGGACGTCCTCGACGTCGTCGCGCGCGCGGCGCCGACGGTCGATTCATCTTCTCCCACGCCGCACGTCATCCGCGTCGACGCCGCGCGCGGCGTCGGCGTCCGCGCCGTCGTCCACGCGCTCGCCCGCGCGTGTCTCGACGTCGTCGCGTCGACGTGACGCGTCATCCGCGTCGGCGTCGGCGTCGGCGTCGCATCATCGATGCCCTCGCGCGAGGTGACGCGCGTCCACGTCGACACACTCGAGCGCGCCATGTTCGCCCTCGCGTTCTCCGCGACGTCCCGGGCGCTCCCGACGCGCGTCGCGATCGAGGCGCGTCCGCGCGCGCGCGCCTCGACCGCTCGCGCGCGAACGACCGCTCGAGTTGGGCGTCCGTGGGGGGACGTGGGCGATCGACGTCACGATCGAGCGACTGACGACGTGCGCGCGCTTTCGATCCCGCAGCGACGGTCCCGTCGAGCGCCGACGACGCGCGCGTTGTTCGGGAAGAAGCCGGCGTCGGAACCCGCGCCCGCGGCGGGGAAGAGCCGGTTCAATAAGCCGGCCAAGGCGACGGAGAAGCCGGCGAAGGGCGAACCGTACTTGGTCGACGGAAAGCTGTGGGTGTGCCAAGGGTGTGGATACGTGTACGACGGCCAGCGAGGCGCCTGGGCGGAGGGTAAGCGATGCCCGATGTGCGGTGAGCGACGATTCGCGCTGAAGGATCCGCAGGAGTTGCAGGTTGCGATTTACTCGCTCGTCGCGCTCGTCGGCTTGCTCGGCGTCCTGTACGGGCTCGTCACGCTCTTCTGATTCGATGACGAGAAATCGACTTCGGGCGCGAGCGTCTTCGTCGTTGCGTTCGTCGGCCGGTTATTATTTGTGAATCAATGACGTTACTACATTACTGTCGAGTCACTCGAGAAACTGAGCGAATCGCGGACGCGGCGCTTCGCTCGCGTCGCCTTGAGATCAACGCTCGGTCTCTTCCGAAGCGGTGCCGAACGGTTTGAGAAAACCTCGCGCGAACGCTTGCTCGAGCGCAACCGCGGCGAAGGCGTACGTGAGAACGCCCTGGCCCGCCAACAGCGCCGCCTGCGCGTACGCCGCGAAATCCGCGTCTCCGTTCACCGCCGCCGCGCGCAGGTATACGTCTGCCGCGCTCAAGCCTCTTGCGAGCCCGAAAGCGCCCACGACCCCACCCTTGAGCTCGTTGTTCCCCAGATCGCGACGAACGGCGTAGCGATACGTCACTCCGAAGACGGCGCACGAAGCCGCGACGACGCCCAGAGACACCAATCCTCCGCCTTGCGACAACGCCAATGGGGTCGCCAACAGCGTCCCGCCCGCCCCCGCGACTACCGCCGCCTTCGCGCTCTCCATCTTCTCCGCCTCCTCGTTCACCGAGGCATCCGCCCACTTCCCCCCGCTCGCGTCCTCGCGTTCGAGTTCCCGTCGCAGCGCCTCTCGCGCCTCCTCCGCCGCCTTCATCTTCGCCTCCGCCGCCGCCACCGCGCTCGCCTTGAGCGCCACCGCCTCCTCCGCCGCCATCACCGCTCGCGATTGCACGTTCGACGCCATCCCTCGCGTCTTCTCGTACGCCTCCTCCACCCGCTTGCGTTCCGTCTCCGCCGCCTTGTCCACCTCCCGCGCCGCCACCTCTTTCGCCGCCGCCTTCGCCCGCTCGAGCTCTCGCCGCACCCCATCATCCGCGGTCAACATCTCTTCCACGCGCGCCACCGCGCTCGAGCGCAGCGCCTCGATCGAGGCGTCGACGCCTCGCGCCGCGCGCGCGGCGTCCGACGCTTTTTCATCGGCATCGTCGTCGTTCGACGCACCGCTCGCCCGCGCGAGGCGCGGCGTCCTCGACGCGCGCGTCGCGAGCGTCGACGCCCGCGCCGTCGTCGCCCGTTCGCGCGCGCGCGGGGTCCACCGCGCGGGCGACGCGCGCGCCATGGGTGTGCCGCCGCGTCGCCGCACCGAGTTCGCGTGCGCCGACGATGGGTCGACGCGTCGTATTAGAGACACGTTTCATGGGATGTCGTGGAGACGCGTGATCGATATCTCGAGGACGTCTTAAACCCTAATTCGATGGGTCGTGAATCGAGAAAGACCCCCGCCTGTGCATCGCGTCTCGACCGGACCCCCGGCGCGATGGCGTCGAGCGATCGCTCGGCGCGCGCGCCGTCTCTCACCGACGCCCGACCACCATGGCTCGCGGACCGAAGAAGCACCTCAAGCGCTTGAACGCGCCCAAGCACTGGATGCTCGACAAGCTCGGGGGCGTGTTCGCCCCCAAGCCCTCGCCGGGTGCGTGCGCGCGACCGTCGAAGGGGCCGTGCGAGGGTTTTCGCGATCGCGATGGCGACGACGTCGAGGGCGTGCGCGGGTGCCGTGGGGCGCGTGCGCGCGCGCGCGCGCGAGGGATGAAAGGTTGATAATACGTGCGCGATACTGACGGTTTTGTACGCGGTATTCGACGATCGATAGGTCCGCACAAGCAGCGCGAGTGCCTGCCGCTGTGCCTCATCCTTCGCAACCGATTGAAGTACGCGCTGACGTACAAGGAGGTGACGACGATCTTGATGCAGCGATGCGTCAAGGTCGACGGGAAGATTCGCATGGACAAGTGCTTCCCGTGCGGGATCATGGGTGCGTACAGCGCGAAGATGCGAGCGATGAGACTTCGATGTGAACTCGATCTCGATGACGGCTTTAGGGCTTTGGGGCTTTGACTGACTCGGTTTTTGTTTGCGCGTAAACAGACGTCGTCTCCATCGAAAAGAGCGATGAACACTTCCGGCTCATCTACGACACCAAGGGACGATTCGTTGTGCACCGCATCGAGGCTGTCGAAGCGCAGTACAAGCTGTGCAAGGTGAGGAGCAAGAAGCTCGGGGACAAGGGCGTGCCGTGCGTCGGTTTGCACGACGGCCGCACCATTCGTTACCCGGATCCCGTGATCAAGGAGGGTGACTCCGTTATGGTCGACATCGCGACGAACAAGATCACCGATTCGGTCAAGTTCGACGTCGGCGCTCTGTGCATGATCACCGGTGGTCACAACGCCGGTCGCGTCGGGGTGATCCAACGCCGCGAGAAGCACATCGGTTCCTTCGAAATTGTGCACTTGAAGGACGCCGCCGGTCAAGAGTTTGCGACGCGCGCGACGAACGTGTTCGCCATCGGTACGGGCAACAAGCCGATGATCTCTCTTCCCAAGGGCAAGGGTATCAAGCTCTCCATCGTCGACGAACAAAAGCAGTAAGCGCGCGTCGACGGACGGAGGACGTCGGCGCGGCGCGCTCGTCGACGTCAGGGGAGGGGCGAGACCGGTAGCCATAGATTTGAGTAATGTTTCCACACGCATGCACGTGCGAATGACGTCGTTGTCCCCCCTAGACGCCACGTTTACGCCGCACACGACGCCGCTAAAAGGTTTTCATCCGCGGGGCGCGGGACGCGAGACCCGAGACGGCGCCCACCGCCGCGTCTAACGGTGCTAGATTTCCAACATTCATCCGCACACCGCACCGCTCGAGCGTGCGCTTCCAAATAAACCGTCCCCAACCGCGCGTGACACGCGCGCGATGTCACACGCGCGCGCACCGCTCGTGAAAACGCGCTCGACGGGCACGGTGTCGTCGAAAACATCACGCCGTGGATCGATGACGCGGATGGGCGGAATTCATCCAACGAGCCTTCGAACTCGCGATTCGGTCGTCGTTCGCGCGTCCGCGGATGGAAAGAAGTTGAATGGTCGATCGACGCACCGCGTCCGAGCGACTAAGGCCCCGCCGGGGTCGGCGCTGGACGCGGCGCAGGCGTTTTCGAATTTGGTCCTGGACTCGAAGAAGTTTGTGGCGGACGCGGAGAACGCGATGATAGATCTCGGCCCGCGAGCGGGCGTCGTTAGCGCCGGAGTGTTGATACACAGCGCGAAGAGTGGTGGACGAGACGCCGGGGCGCTCGAGGGGGCGATGGCGAGCGCGATGGCGGAGGGGAAGGATTTCTCGCACGTCGTGGACAAGGCCAAGGCGAATCTCGCGTCGATGTGGGCGCAAAAGGTCGAGGGAAGAGTGAGCGTGGAGCTCGGATGGCAGCTCGCGAACGACGCGGAAGGAACGGTGATGAAAGCGAGGGAGATGGTCGCCTTGTGCGACGAGACGCGTACGCCACGGGATAAGCTGTTGTTCAAGATTCCGGCTACGTACGCCGGGATCAAGGCGTGCAAGACGCTCGAGGCGGAGGGCGTTCCGTGTCACTTGTCGCACGTGTACTGTCGCGAGCAGGCGTACGCGGCGGTCGATGCCGGTGTCTCTGTCGTGCAGCTGTACTACTCTCGCCTGAACGCGTGGTACAAGGCGAAGGGAAGTTCCTCAGACGACGTCGACCCGGCGTACGATCTCGTCAGAGACACCTTGGCGCGCGTCAAAGCCACGGGCTCGAAGACCAAAGTCATGGTCGCCTCGCTGGCCAACGTCGACGCCGTCATGCGCGTCTTAGGCGTCGATTACTGCTTGGTGGGGCAGCGCATCATCGATGAACTCGCTGAAATGCCCGCTAGCGACTTGGGCGAGACCATCATCTCCGACGCGCGCGCCAGCCCCGGCGCTGGCGGCGCCGCTGCTAACCTCTCCGAGGCCGACTTCCTCGCCGCGTGCGCGGCATCTCCCGCGAAGGAGGAACTCGAGCTCGCCCTCAAGCGCAACGCCGCTCGAGACGCCGATCTCATGAACTTTATCACGCAGTCCAAGGCGGGCGGCGGGAACGCGTAGACGCGCGCTCTTTGCAGCGCCTCGACCCATCACGACGTTTAATTTACCGCCGCGCTTTCAATTGCATCAAATCATGACGAAGTATCCCAATAATCGTCCTCTTCCACTCCTCTTCGAGTCCATCGACGCCGTTTCACGACCTAATGACCCGTCTACTGGGCACAAAAATATCTCGTCAGACAGTTGAATAAAGTGCCCACCGCCTCAAACCATGCCGTGCGCGTGCGCGTGGATCACCGGTGCCGGCACCGGCGCCCCCCTGTGCTCGTACGACTTTCAACCCAAAGAAGAACCCCTCGCCGTCGTCGTCTTCTTACACGGCGTCGGCGAACACGCTCGAAGATACGATGGTTTCTTCAGACTTTTGAATTCCAAAAAGATACACGTCGTGACGTATGATTGCGTCGGACACGGCGCGAGCGATGGACTTCCGGGATACATCCAGAGCTTCGATGACGTGGTGAAGGACGCGAGAGGGGTCTTGAGGCGAACGCGGGAGAGATTCGGAGGCGGCGTCCCTATAGTTTTGTGCGGACAGTCATTCGGTGGGCTGGTGGCGGCGACGGTGGCGGCGATGGAGGGTGCTGAAGGCGACGGCGCGTTGGATGGGCTAGTATTGACAGCGGCGAGCGTGGACGTGCACTGGACGCCGGTTTTGAGGGCACAGGCGGCGGTGGGTGCTGCGCTCGCCGCGGCTGCGCCTAAAGCTCGGTGGGTTCCGGCGGTTCGGTTGGAGGACATGACGAGCGACGCGGCGACGTTGGAGTCGTACGCGAGCGACCCGTACGTCCAACTCGGTGGGGTGCGGTGTAAGACGGCGTACGAGATCTTGAGAGGCTTTAGATCGTTACGGAATCGGTACCAAAGTGTGCGGTGTCCGCTCTTGGTGCTGCATGGTGGCGACGACGCGTGCGCGGATAAAAACGCGGCGAGGCGCTTGGTGAGCGAAGCGTTGAGTTCAACGAAAGAGTACGTTGAGTTTGCAGGGATGCACCACCTGATTTTACAGGAACCTGGAAGCGATGCGGTGCAGGCGCGCGTGGTAGACTTCATCGAAAACGTGGCGCGTTCCAACTCGCGCCGACGCTCCATGCATTCCTCGAGCTCTTCACTTCGATCGAGACTGTAATATGACGATCACGATGCAGCATGTAAAATATTCCATGGTAAATCGAGCACGGTCGTCGCTGCTCGATTGATAAGTTAAACGCGCCGCGCTTGTGTATATCGTCTCACCGAACCGCTCTCGCTCTGCACCGCGAACCGCACACATTGACGCCTCGCACGTCCGCACTTGTCCACGGCGCGGCCGTAGAGCACACGGCGGTCCAGAAACACCACGAGCGAGCGTCCGAACGAGCCGTCATGGGTGCTAAAACGGCTAAAAAGGTGTCGAACATCAAGGCTGAGCAATCCGCCGCCAAGAAATCTTCAGACGATTCACCAAGAGCCACGCGATCTACCAAACGCGAGCGCGCCTCGTCGAGCGCAAATGACGTTCCGGAGCGTGAAGAACCCACGAGCCGACGCTCGAACGAATCTGACGACGGAGACGACCGGGAGACGAAGAGACGCTGCGACGCTGTTGGCGCCGCGCACGACGCGGTTGACAAGGACGACGTCAAGACGCTCGTGCGCATCGATGGAAACGCCGGACGCGTGATCGGTAAGGGTGGAGAGACCGTGCGGTACATAGAGACTGTGTGCGAGGTGCGAGTAGAGTTTAGGAGGGACGAGGGTGTGGCGGTGGTGACACCGCGCGCGGACTTTGGCGGAACGCGGGAGGAGAAATTAGCAAATACGCGACGCGCGAAGGCTCTGATCGAGGAGGTGGCGAACACGGGACACATAATGGAGCGTTTGACGGCGGAGGCTCCGGTGGGGGTGAACGCGGGGATGCATATTGACGAGAGCGTCATCCCGGCGGAGTTGTTGCGCGGTGAAGACGATGACGAGTTGGAGTTTCAGATTCCGTGTCCGGGTAAGGAAGGGCGAGTGATCGGACGAGGCGCGGCAACGATTCGAGAGATCAGCGCTCGAAGCGGGGCGAGCTGTCACGTTGTTCGAGGGAGCGGGGTGTGCGTGGCAAAGGGCAAGCGGAAGTGCGTTCGAGTGGCATATCAAATGGTGCATGACACGTTGGAGTTACAGGTGGACAGATTCGGCGTCGCGACGGATGGGACGCAGCTCACGCAGTCACAGCCGCAGATCGGGATCACACACCCACCGACGTCGGCGATGATGTATCCACCGCAAGGTCAACCGGGGCAGGTCGTGAGGCTTCAAGGACTTCCACAGGGCGCAGTCGTTATAAATGGGATGACCATGGTTCCTCTGTCTTCAATAGGTTTAGCGCCCGCACCGGTGGCGAATCCGGTGTCAACAGGATTGGACACTACGATCGAGGTCCCGTGCGCGGGTTCTGAGGGACGAATAGTGGGTAAAGGAGGCGAGATGATAAAGCACCTCCGCGCGGTCACTGGGTGCATGGTGGACATCAAGAACAATAAATCGCCCTCGGCGGTTGTCGTGATCTCAGGAACGCCGTACAACGCCGAGCTCTGTCGCTCCTACGTGTACGAAGTCATGGAGAACGGTGACACTCGAGCATTGGGGAAATTAGGAGGTGCGCCGCATCAAGGCGCGCCGCCAGTGCAGCAGCTATATCAACAACAGACGCAGTACTACGCGCCTCCAGTTCCAGCCAACGTCGGCGGAATCTGGAACCGATACTACGACGGTCAAGGAAAACCGTACGAGCATAATCCGGTGACTAATGAAACGCGATGGGTGTAGGCGCTCGGGCGCTCGTAGAATATTAGATGAGCAAATCGTAATGGTTCTCCCCGTTGTACAGCAGTCGACAGGGCTTGCGCTTGCCACCCTTACTGAACTCCTCCCCGTACGTCTGAATCGCTACAAACCCGTGACCCTCGGCGTTCTTCGCCTGCGAAGCGTGTATGTACACCATGATCGGCCGCTTGATCAGCCTCGACAGCACCAATAGCTCTGGCTCGCCGCCCCAAAACGCCGGCTCCAATATCCTTCGACAATACGTCTCCAATCCTTGCTCGTACGAGATCGCCATCACCGCCTCGGAGAAATCCTGGCGCTTTTCCGGCGTTCGACACAACGACTCCGCCACCGCCAATCGCAACTCATCTGCCTCGCGTTCCTCCTCGCCCGACGTCATCACGCGTCCCGCCACGTTTGCCAACGCCAGTGCCAACGCCCGAAACATGCATCGCCCGTCCCCGCGCACGCGCACCACGTCGTAGAACTCACCCTTCCGTCGAGGGGTCTTATTCGTCCCGGATTTCGTTCGCTTCTTCGACTTTGCGGACGCTTTGGCGACCTGGGCGAGCTCGCGAGGTCGACCGAGCGGTGGCGGCGGAAAATTTGTAGCGACGCTCGAATGTGCAGCGCGCGCGGCGCTCGAGGCGCTCTGGGCGCGTCCGCCGTCGGACATTGCGCTTCCGTGAGGTGTGAGCTCGGTGCGTCTCGTGCGACGATGTGACGGCGCCGAGCGGTGGACTATCTCTGTTGAAGTGGATAAAGAAAGGCTATACGATGCGGATGCGGGGTGTTACTAGAGCATGATGCGGGATCGACGCCCGTCGGTGCGACCGTAGTGTTCCTCGACGACGTACGTAAGATTTCTAGCGGTAAATCGAGCGTGGCGAAGGGAGCTGGTGACCTTCTGGCACATGACGTTTATTGCGGCGACGGTTGTGTCGTCCAATTGAGAGTCCTCCGTCTTGGGAAATAATCGAGCCAGGGTGCAGTGTAGTGTGTCGTTTTGCTTAGTTGCGGCGCCCACGACCTTGTCTCGTAATCGTTCGCGCACAACCTGCGATCCGCCATTCACGTCCTTGAAACAGAGCAGCAAACAGCCGCTCGGGGCGAGGCACACCCGATCGACCTCCAGCTCGCATGTGCCGCACCCCTTCACCGCGTCCGCGATTGCGCTCTCCTCAAACGCGATCGCGTTCTCGATCGGTAACGTTCGCGGGAGTGTACGAGTAGTTCCCGACGCGTTCTCGACCGCGAATGTCGCCGGGGCTTGCACATACTCGAAAGTCCTCGATACGTGAAACAGAGTCACGTGCAGTTCTTGGCGTCCCGGCGCGAACGCGTCCATCTTCCCTCCAACCAATCGTATGAGCTCACGCGTCGCTCCCTGCACGGCTGCCACGATCGCCGGGGCATCTTCGAGGGATATGATCACCAATCTCGCGCAATCTAGCGGCATACTGAGCTCCGCGTATTTGCGCGGCCACACGCCGGCTTCGGGCCACCGACCGAAACTAAAGAATCGTCGCGGCGTCAACGCAGAAGCGTCCAAACCACCCATCGCGAACGCAATCTCGAGCGATTCGTACACCGCCGTCGCGTTCGCGGTGTGTTTGACGTCGATCGATGACGTCGACTCGCGCGTCGCGCGCGTCTCCTCCGAACGCGCCGTCCCCGACGTCTCTTCCGTCTTCTCTCTCATCCTTCGCGTCGCCGCCGCGCCCGCGCGCGAGATCACCGCCGTTTCAGCCGTCACCACCGCCTCTTCGATCTCCTCCTCCTCCGTCGCCTCCTCGTCGGAGACGTTTTCTTTCACCCTCTTTGCTCGCCGTCCACCGCTCACTGAGAAGATCTCCGACCCGTACGCGTACGCGTAGCACGCCGCGACGCCGCACACCGCGCCCGCGATCGCGGCGATCACCACCCTGGTCCTCGACCGCGTCGGCGCGCCCGCGTGCGCCATGACGACGCCGCGAAGCGTCGTTTGGTGACGCTTTTTCCACACGCCCATCATCTCTTCGCGCGAATTCCAACCAAAGCGTCCGCAGTGCGCGTCGCGTCGCCCCTCGCGCGCGCTCGGACGAGGCCCGCCGGGTGGAGATCGATATCGGTCGTCTCGGAATCGCGTTTCGCGTCCGAGATCGTCGACGTCGACGACGACGGTTGGCCAACACGAAAACTCTCGATTGCACGCGAACATCATCATCCATCGACGACGACGCGCTCGAGCGCTCGGGATGATCCCGCGCCGAGCGATGCTTCGACGAGTGAGGCAATTGTTGATCGCGTGCGCGTGCGCGTGCGCGGTGGTGATGTTCGAGGAGACGGCGCGGTGGCGACCGGGCGCGTGGGCGAGCGGCGCGCGCGCGGCGCTGGCGCTGTGCGGTATCGGTATCGCGGCGACGACGGTGGCGATGCGATACGTCGATAGGGTGAATGGGGTGCATAATTTCAGTGGAGGGGCGAACGGGAGATCGAGCGCGTTCGGGTCGACGGGCGGGGCGGACGCGGAGGCGGGCGGATCGAACGGGACGCGGGCGACGTGGAACGGGAGCTCTTGGACCTCGCGCTCGGGATCGTTCGGTAACAACGCGAGCGTCGGTGCGGCGAATGAGACGAATGTTGATAAAGTTCAGGGCACGGGCGCGTTTGGGTACGGCGGGTATCAGGACGAGGTTGATTACGACGACGCGCGAGCGAGAGGTGAGCGCGAGCGCGCCGAGCAAGAGCGATGGGCGCGCTGGGAGGCCGAGGATGAGGAGCGTGAGAATCGCCGAGCGAGCAGTCGCGCGGAGAAAAAGGTTGAGGACAGGGCGAAGAAGGAAAAGTCCCGCGCCAAGCGATGGGCGCGATACGACGAGCAATGGGAGCTCCTGGAGTCCGCCGCGTCTTCGGGTGAACCGCTTCGATACGATGACGTCCCGTGGCCTCCTAAGATGAAGGAACTTCTTGACCGTGAATCCGGCGGAGAAAATGCTTCCGATCGCGATCGCAAGCTCGCCTATCACCGTTGCGTCAAGCGTTGGCATCCGGACAAGTTTTTGTCCAAATTCAGAGCCCGCATCGAGCTCGGCGGCGACGCTGATAAGATCGCCGAGCGCGTCGGCGCCGTCGCCAAGGCCCTCACCCTCGCGTACGGCGCCGCCTAGTAATGCATTCCATCCGTTTCTATCACGAAATCGAACATTCAAACCGTATTACGCCTCGTCCATCTCATCCCGTGCCCCTCTCTCGGGTTGTTGCACTTTTTGCAAAAGCGCGGGTTTACCTAACGAAGTCACCGCGGCGCGCCCGCTCGCGTCACCGCGCGACGCGCGCGCGATTCGAGCAATGCGCGCCTCCACGAGCGCGATGAATGTGCGCGCGACGCACGCGCGCGCGCGCGCGCGCGGCGACGGCGCGCGACGTAAGAGCGTCGAACGTCCCGGCGCGCGCCTCGAGCGCGTTCGAACGTCGACGCCTCGTCGCCGCTCGCGCGTTCACGCGGCCGCGAACGCGGTCGAGCGCTCGCGTGAGGATGATTGGGATGAAGATGCATCTACGGAGCGCTCGAGTGAGGCGAACGTACCGGAGACGACGGAGGACGGGTCGGTCATCGATGCGCCAGGGGAGACGGAGGAAGCCGAGGCGAGCGTGCGGGACTTGGCGAGGTTCACTCTGCCCACGATGGCGATCTGGCTGTGCGATCCGTTGTTGTCGTTGGTAGATACGAGCGTGGTCGGGACGTTCGCGGGAACGTTAGAGCTCGCAGCGATCGCGCCGGGGTCGGTGTACGCCGGGTACCCGGCGTACCTGCTGTGCACCGGGTTCGCAGTGGCGACGACGAGCATGGTCGGGCAGGATCGTCTGACGGAGGCGAGGCTAGATCGAGAGGATGAGGCGGAGCGGACGGTGAGCGCGGCGGTGTTGAGCGCGTCAGTAGCGGCGATTTTAGGGGGAGCGCTCTTGGTGGGGGTGATGAAGCCTGCGCTCTCGGCGTACGTGGGGGCAGCAAATGTGGCGCTGATGCCGTACGCAAGCGCGTACGCGTTCATTAGAATATTGGCACTGCCGGTGGGATGCGTCAACGCAGTCGTTGAGGCGGCGTTTTTGGCCGTGCGCGATCCGTGGACGCCGCTCAAGGCTGTGACGCTGACGACGGTGTTGAACCTCGTCCTCGATGTGAGCTTCGTCGCGGGGTTCGGGTGGGGGGTCGCCGGCGCCGCCGCGGCGACGAGTATGTCGCAGGTGATTACGATGGTGCTTCTTCTGCAGGCGCTCGTGCGTAGGGGATCTCAGGTGGACGAGATGAAGAAGTTACTCAAGTCGAGACAGTTTAGGGATCCGCGCACGGTGAAGAACACGGGCGCCCCCGCGCTGAGGCTGCCTTTCCAGAAGCCCAGGCCGGGATTTTACACTCGATTGAGAAAAATATCGGTCCCGGTAATGGTTGTGGCTCTGATCAAGTGCATCTTTGTCGGTTGGATTGTGCGCTCGGCTACAGCGATCTCTCCGGAGGCGTCGGCGGCGAATGGAGTGCTCTTATCGGTGTACTTCTTCTTCGCCGTCGTGGGTGAGGGCGTTAGTCAGGCGGCGCAGACATTCTTGCCGGCGCAACTTGGGAAGTTTAAAAAGGCTCTGCAGCTGTCGTTCCGTATACTGATCGTGTCGATGGCCATCGGCGTCTTCAACGCCGTGCTCAGCGGTTTGCTCCCGACGTTGTTGCCACAGATGTTCACCAAGAACGCGGCGGTGGTTGAGCTCATGCTTCAAGCCGTCCCGTTCATGTCTCTGTCGTTGCTCGCGCACACCGCGTCGATGGCGAGCGAGGGATGTCTTCTTGCTGCTCGAGACGGCGTCTTCATGTCACTGTCGTACATCCCAAACGCGGCGCTCAGCTGCATCACACTCGCCGTGTTGCAGGCAGCCGATTTTGGCGTTCGCTCGTCCTGGATCGCTCTGTTCCAGTTCCACTGCGTTCGCCTCGTCATCAACGCCGTCCGCCTCCGCTTCGGCCCGTCACCGCTCAAGCGTGCGCTCGTGCTCCCAATGCGAGCCATCGAGCTCGGAAAGTCGGAGGAACCCTTGGCCTCGATCGACGGTTCTACTCGGACGATCCCGAACGCGTCGTGACGAAACACTGCGAAAGACGACGACCTCGAGTCGCTTCCGATCGCCGTTCGCGATCGAAAATTCTTATTACAGTAAGCTGTCCCGTGTTGTAAGATCTTGAAAACTGGATTCGTTTCCTTGAGTCACGATCAAGGACGACCACACACCTGAATCACACACCAATCACACACACACCAACCACACACACACACTTTGCAACCACACACACACACACACACACACACTTAACCACACACTTTTAGGGTTTAGGTAGGGTTTACGTTTTTGTCATCTTAGGGGTTATTTTCATTAAATATGTACGGGAGGAAAAAATAATGAAATGGACATCACGCGTCGGCGTCCAAGCGGTTAAATCGATGGGGCATTTCAGCACATCTTTCGCGCGCGTTCTCCGACGCGTCGAGTGATTTGAGTGCGGTTTGCGACATTCACTGGCGACTAACATCACTCAGGAACCGCGTGCTGGTGGAGAAACCGTGCGCGGGACGGTTTCTTGACGCCGTCCGACGACATCCCGTCGCGCGGCATCCACGGCGATTTCAACGGGCGACTTCCAGAAAAAACGGGCAAATCTAGGGTTTAGTTAACGAATAAGGACTCGTGAATGATGAGAGGGGGTCGATTCTCGACGTAAAAAAAGTGTGTGTGTGGTTGGTGTGTCACACCTTTTAGTGTGTGTGTGTGTGTGTGTGTGATTGAAAATAGTGTGGTTGTACCACACACTTTACCACACACTTAAGTGTGTGGTCGTCCTTGGTCACGATTCGTCACATAGTCCCTCGTACCGAAACCCATACCGTACGAACATGCATAGGGTCCAGCAATAGAATCGAGCCCGGGCGATGTCGCGTCGCGTCCGCCTTTCTCAGGCGCGCGCGAGTACGTCGTCGCCGTCGACTCGAGGTACGTCGATCGCACGCGCGTGAACGACGCGAGAACGACCGTGTGTCGTGACGAGACGCGTTCGTACACGAAAGACGCGTCGAGCGCGGCGGAGGAAGCGCGATGCGACGAGCGCTAGAGAGGGCTTTAGGGCTTTCGGTAGATCGCGATCGTTTGCGCGTTCATGCGCGACGCGAGCGCGCAGACGGCGATTGAAGGGTGCCGATGCGGGATTGTGTCGACACTCCGTCGTTCGTGGGCGTCGGGACGCGGGTTCGGGTGGCGTGCGCGTCGGGAACGAGTGAAATGGGCGACTGGACGAGACGAGGGTTGACTTCGTTGCAGAAGGAGCGAGAGACTGACCGTTTTCTGTTTTTGCTAATGATTGCAGTTAATCGAATTAGAAATGTCTGATCGAGGTGGATTCTCCCGCGGTTTCGGCCGCGGCGGTGAGCGTGGCCGCGGTGACCGCGGTCGCGGTGATCGCGGTCGCGGACGCGGACGTGGACGTGGCCCGCGCGGCCGAGGCGGCGAAGACAAGGATGCCTGGGTCCCGTGCACCAAGCTCGGTCGTCTCGTGCAACAAGGGAAAATCAAGTCGCTCGAACACATCTTCTTGTTCTCGATTCCGATCAAGGAGCACCAGATCGTCGAACACTTCATCGGCGCCGAACTCAAGGATGAGGTCATGAAGATTTGCCCGGTTCAAAAGCAAACCACCGCGGGTCAGCGCATGCGCTTCAAGGCTTTCGTCGTCGTTGGCGATTGCAACGGCCACATCGGGCTCGGTGTGAAGGCGTGCAAGGAAGTCGCGCATTCCATCCAAGGTTCCATGATCCTCGCCAAGCTTAACGTCGTCCCGGTTCGTCGAGGCTACTGGGGCTCCAAGCTCGGCGCCCCGCACACCATTCCGACCAAGGTTCACGGCAAGTGCGGCTCCGTGCACGTTCGTCTCATCCCGGCGCCGCGTGGTGCGGGTATCGTCGCATCCGGTACGGTGAAGAAGGTATTGGCTATGGCTGGATTGCACGACGTGTACACGTGCTCTCGTGGTCACACGCGTACGCTTGGTAACTCTGTCAAGGCGACGTACGCTGCGCTCAAGTCCACCTACGGCTTCTTGACCCCGGATTTGTGGGCCACCACGCGCTTCACCAAGCCGCCGGCTCAAGAGTTCACCGACTTGCTCGCGAAGCCGGCCAAGGCCGCTCGCGACATCTAGGCGAATTCGCGGCTTTTGATCTCATAGAACTAGAGTTGGAATATTAAAAGTTCCTCCACAACTAACTCAAAGTGAGCGCAGTTCCTGTACGTAATGTTCCCTGAGCTTCCAAAGCATGCTCTGGAGCGCGCGTCGGTCGCACCCGTCCAACACGGCACCTGCCGTCTCCCTCAGTGCGATCGCCCTGGCCTCTCGCTCCGCGTTCCGCTCGCGCTCCCACCGCTCTCTAATCTTATTGCTGTTGAAATCAACCGCTCGATACAACTTCTCCGTCCCTCTCGCACGCTCGAGCGCGGCGTCTCGCTCGGCCTCGGCGCTCGCCAATCGCAGCTTCATCTCCAACGCCTCCTTTTCCCGTTCCATCGCCTCCGTTTTTATTCGTCTACGATTCGTCTCTCTCGTGTATCGATGCCAAGCTCGTACCGCGTCTCTCTTGCGCCGCGTCGCCGCTCGACGCAGCGCTTCGTGCACCGCGGCGTCGCGCGCCTTCCGTTCCCTCGTCACCCGATACCAAGCCCGCATCACGTGCGCGAGCACCTCCGTACGTAGCGCGAGCACGGTGGCGATCAAATCCCGTCGTTCGTCGGACGATTTGAGCGTTTCGCGACGCCACGCGTGCAGAATGTCCCTGAGCGCGCGTTTGTTGTCAACATTCACAACTGACTTCCAACGTTTGAACGACGATCCGAGCGTCGACGGCGACGTGGTAGTCGCGGATACAGGAGAACACTTAGGATGGGATGTTTCGCCGATGCGCATGAGAATCGAGTTCGATCGCGCGCGGGATTTTGCGGTGATTTCCAGCAACAAGTTGTGCTAACGTGCTCTTGGCTTTTGGTTCACGACGCGCGGGCGGGCAAGCGCTCGAGCTTGGCCAGTGTAGAAAATGCCGCGACCTGGCTCAGACCGTCGGGCCAGGTGATGCTCATCGCGTAGTTTCCGATCACGGACATCTCCACCGGTGCGATGTCGTCCGGGATGGGGGCTCCGTTGAGGAGTCTGTCTGGAGACTCATCGCTCCCCTTCACACGAGCGCTCTCGTCGGAGAGACGAACGTTCTTGGCGGTGATCCAGAACGCCTTGTCGTTGTTCTCCCCGGGGATTTCCACTCGGAAAGCGCCGTCATAGCCAGGATCTATGTCGACGCGCGGTTTCTTGCCGTTGTTGAGCTTGGCAACCTCGCGCACGACGGTGGCGGCGACCTCTTGGTATCGCGAGCTCGTCTCGCACGTCGGGTCTCGCAGGACGAGAGGTCGGCCGGTATCTCCGCACGCGCTCAGATCCGGAACAATAGGCATTTGTAGCAAGTTCGGGACGCCGTACTGCTCGCAGATCTTCGCCCCGCTTCCCTCGCCGAAGGGCTTGTGCTTGACTCCGTCAACCTCGAAGTAGCTCATGTTCTCCACGACGCTCACACACGGGACAGCGAGCTTGGCGAACATGCGAACGCCCTTTTCGACGTCGATGAAGGCAAGCTTTTGCGGCGTTGTCACTACGACCGCAGCGGTGATCGGGACGACCTGGCACAACGTCAGCTGCACGTCACCCGTTCCTGGGGGCATGTCGATTATCAAGTAATCGAGCTCGCCCCAATCCGTCGTCGTCAACAGCTGGTTGATCAATCCGCTCACCATGGGGCCTCGCATGATCGCGCTACCCTGGCCGGCGAAACCAAACGAAACCACCTTCACCCCCTCGTACTCCACCGGCTTGATCGTCCCCGTTTCCTTATCCATCTCCAGCACTGGAACGTCTGGGGAGATCATTGTCGGCAGGCTCGGCCCATAAACGTCGGCGTCTAAAATCCCAACCTTAGCCCCCATCATCGCCAACGTGTACGCCAAATTCACGCTCGTCGTCGACTTCCCGACCCCACCCTTACATGAGCTCACGGCGATGATGTGTGATACCCTGCGAAGTCCCTCAACCGTCTCTGGCGCGTCGTTTCTCGCCGGCTGCGCCGTCATCGTCACTGACACCCGCTTCACCCAATCCAACTCCTCAACGAACGCCTTCGCCTGCCGCTCGAACTCTGCCTTCACCGGGCACGCTGGTGTCGTGAGCTCGATCGCGAACAGCACGCTCCCGGCGCTCTCGTCGATCACGAGCGCCTTCACGAACCCGCAGTTTACAATGTCCTCGCCAAAGTCCGGGTCGATCACCCGTCGGAGCTTACTCAGGACCTCGGATTCTTTGCTTCCGTCCGGCGCGGAGTATATCGCGGGCATCGACGTTGTATCCATTAAATCACCCTCGGTGGACGTCGAGGGCGCGTGGCGCGCGCGCACGACGCGGTTGGAGTTGATGCGGCGGCTCTTATCCGAAAATTTGGAACTCGCCGCGCTCTCCGCTCGATATGCGCGAGCGCTCGCTGACGAGGCGAACGTGGCCGACATTCCGCGTTCTATCGCGCAATCGAGTTTTGTGAGTTGACGACGCGTGAAGAGCGCGACGAGATGTGAAGTGTTGTGTCCTGTTTTCCAGTCCCTGAAGGAGGCGTAAACTACATCAACTACGTACTAGTGAATCCAGGCCGCGAGCCTTGGCTTCGTCTAATGTTCTATCGTGCCGCGTCCGCGTCCGCGTCCGCGTCCGCGTCCGTGTCCTCCAAATCGCTCGCGTCGGTTCCGTTTCATTGCCTTGTCGATCGCTCGACTCTCCGCGAGAGCGGCGCTCACGAGCTTCGCGTCGTGTTTCTTCTTGATCACCACCAAGAACAAGCCCGCGCGCGTCCGTTCGCGCCACACTCCCGACCCTTTAAACCCCTCCTCGTACCGCGATCCACCCTCTAAGCGCTCAATTCGTAACGTCTCCTTCAAGGCGTCCCGTAAGGCGTCGCCGCCGAGTCGCTTTGCCAGACACCGCGTCAGGTGTCCCTTCGGCTCCTCTATCGCTCGTCGAACGCTCTCAGCCGCTATGAGATCACTCTCGGCGAGTTCTACCCTATACGGCGCGTTAGCGTCGATCATCGACGCATCGGCGTCGTTCAAGCGCTCCAAAGTTGGACTTTTCCTCTGCAAACCAAGTTGCTGAGTTTCATCATTTTGTCGAATCTCTCCCTCCTCTTCAAGTTCACCCGTCTCCGCGTTCACGACGTCCTCGTAATCGATGAGTTCTTCGTCTTCATCGCTCAAATCGACGTCGCTCGGCATGAAGGAAAGCGTCAGCGTGTGAAGGGGTCGTCGTTCTCAAGACACAAGTCTTCACTGATCGCCGCATTGGCGCGTCTCCCGTCGCTGCTCTCGAAGCACGACTCGCGACGCTCGTTTCGATCGGAAGAGACCTCTCAGTGCTCTCGATCGCGGGTTAAAATGGGCGGCGCCGTGAGCGCGGCGCGGAGTTTGTTTGACAAGTACTTTGGAAATGTGGACATGCGCGTCGTCATGCTCGGCCTCGACGCCGCCGGGAAGACGACCATCCTGTACAAGCTGCACATCGGCGAGGTCTTGTCGACGGTCCCGACGTTAGGGTTCAACGTGGAGAAGGTGCAGTACAAGAACGTGGTGTTCACGGTCTGGGACGTCGGCGGGCAGGAGAAGCTCCGACCGCTGTGGCGGCACTACTTCAACAACACGGATGGGTTGATCTTCGTCGTCGATTGTCTCGATCGCGATCGGATGGAAAGGGCGAAGGAGGAGTTTTATTCCATCGTGAACGATGCGTTCATGAGGAACAGCGCGATCTTGATCTTCGCGAATAAGCAGGATTTGAGAGGCGCGCTGACGACGGCGGAGTTGGTGGAGGCGTTCGATTTGCCGAGTCTGAAGGGGAGACGGTGGCACGTGCAGGCGTCGTGCGCGACGCAGGGGTTAGGATTGTACGAGGGATTAGATTGGTTGTCCTCCACGTTGGTGAAGATGCGCCGAAATGGGTTGATCACGAGCGTCGGGTCGAGCGGGGAGAAACACGGGCAAGGCAGACAGGGCAGAGACGCGAGATTCATGTGATGTTCGCGGTAGATAGGTAGACGATGCGATGTAAAGAAAACCAACGGTCGCGTGATAATAATAGTTTACATTTCGTTTCATCATCTGACGAGCGCGAGCGCTTTGGCCTCCTCGAGCTCAGTGCGGCACTTTCCGCACCCTTTTTTGGCGTATCGACACTTGGTGCAGCCAAGCTCTGTTCTTGGTGGGCGAAGAATTCGAGGACGACCGCGACCGCGCTTTCCATCCGGTCGAAGCACAGGAACAACTGTCAATTCCTTCACCACGATGGGCTTGCCGGTATTCACGTCGATGTACCTGGACGATTTGGTGCCTGGAAAGGCGACGTTCATACCCTTGGCGCTCTTCGTCTCGACGCGCTTAGGCGCTTTCATTTTGGTCGTCTTCTTCACCGGTACGCTCTTCTTCCCACCTCGAGGCCCGCGGGGTAGACGTGGCGATTCTGGATCGCACGCACCGCACCCGTTTGCAGCCCATCGGCACTTGCTGCAACCTTTCGTATTGGAGCCATAGACGACGAGCGCCATGGAGCTGCCGGCCTTTGAAGACGCCTTTGCGACTGGTTTCTTTGTCTTCGTCGGCGCTTTGGCCATTCGCGCCGCGGGACCACGAGGAAGACGTTCCTTTCCAGGATCGCACCTCCCACACCCGCCAGCGGACCATCGGCACTTACTGCAACCCTTGGGACCGCCAACGAGGACGAGTGCCTTCGAGTTCTTTGAGCTCGCCTTTTTCGCGGTCAACCTCTTCGGTTGCTTCTGTAGCTTCGTGGCAGCCTTCTTCTTCAGCGCCGCCGCTGCGGGACCTCTGGGAAGACGAACGGTGTCGGGGTCACATCCACCGCAGCCGTTTCGGGACCATCGACACTTGCTACAACCCTTTGTAGGCACGAGCGCGAGCGCGAGCGAGTTGTCTTCGTTCGCAACCTTGGACTTCTTTACCGGCGGTGGGCAATCATTCACCTTAGGCGGACGACCGCGACGTTTCTTCTGCGGTTGCGCTTGAGCTTCGTGCGGAGATGTATTCAAGTCGACGACGCTCAGCGGCGCACGCGGCGTTTCGACTGCGATGTGGTTCTCGTCAACGGGCGCATTTGCCTCTGTTGTCGCGACCTCCTCGACGTCCTCCTCGGTCTCGTGCGCGTGATGTAAGTGCATCGGCGGCGGGAGTTCGACGAGTCTTCGGTTCATCAAAGGATGCCATCTCGGACCCGGAGTGCACGAGTCGATGGCGGGCGTCATCGCAAACGGAGTCGGCGCGTACGGCGTCATCCCGTATCCGGGACCGGGTGTCACTGATGTCATTCGGAACGGACCCGGAGTCAGCGGTTGCGGTCTTGCGGGACTCCCTTGCTCGATCTCCTCCCCCTCGTCCTCGTTCGTCTCGTCGAGCTCGGTGCACTGCACGCTCTCCTCTGGGAAACTCGTCGGCCGAGCGGGAGTGCAACCGCCCATGGGGAGGTGTAAATCGTTCGCCTCGCGGAAATCGACCATCTCTTCGATTGCCTCGTCCGAACTCCATCGTTCATTCGCGTCTACCCACGTGGTGGACTTCAAGAAGTCGTACAGTGCTTCGCATCCGGGCGTGACGCGCGCGTCAAATTTTGCGAGCACCTCCTTCACGCGCGTCTCCTGTCCCGCCGTCGCCGCGATCTTCTTCTCCAGCTTGAGCTCACCGAGAGCCTCCTCGAGCTGGCAATCGACTAAAATCTCCACGTCTAGGCACATCGACGCTGCCCATACCAAGAATGCCCACATATCCGCCTGAAAATCGTAGTGCGGCCCCCTCGTCTCCGGCGCGATGTACCCGCACGTCCCCGGTCCTTGGAGCGTCATCCTTCGCTTCCCAACCTTTGGCAATCGCACCGCGGTCCCCCAATCCGTGAACCCAATCGTGACCTTCGTCACCGTCCCGAACGCGTTCCTCACCACGCTCCTTACGAGCACGTTCTTCGCCTTTAAATCCCGCCAGACCACGCGCGCCGCCTTCAGCTCTTCCAGTCCCTCCGCAACCTGCAAGAACACGTCCAACTTCACCCGCGCGCTCAGTTCCCTCCCCGCCGCCTTCTCCCGCGTCATAAAATCCTCCAGGCATCCATCCGGGCACAACTCACTCAAAACCGCCAAATACTTCTTCCCGTCTCGCCGCGTCGTCGGCGCGCACCCGTGCGTCTTCACCGCCACTCTCGGCAAATCCCCCACCGTGGCCACCTCCGCCACCACCTGCGACTCCTTCGACCCGTCCACGACGCGAGCGCACACCGTCTCACCGCGAAACCGCGCGACGTACGCGGTGCAGAACCCACCCTCACCGAGAACCGCGTCGTAATCGATCTCCACCTCGGACTCGACAAAAATCTTCATGTCCGGACGATGGCTCGCGATCGCCTCCAAACACGACGCGCACGCGCGCGCGTCCATGTCCGTCGCCCGCGAACGATCGAGACAAAATCCCTCGACGCGATCGTCGCGCGCGACGCCGCGATCGCCCGTCGCCCGTCGCGCGCGTGTGACGTCGCGCGTCGCCCGCGCAACGGTCGTGCGACGATCGGCATTCTCGTTGTGCATCGATGTACATCACGCACAGTACGTACCACGCGTCCGAGGGTGTGTCCTCGACGACGTATCGGACCCCTCGTCGAGTTCCAGGTCGTGGCTCGAGCGCGTACATTAACCTCGCGAAGGCCATGTGTGTGTCGTGCGGCGCTAGGGTTTTCACGCGTCGCCCGCGATCGCGCGCGACGTCCCCGCACACCCGCGTCGCCGCGCGCGCGCGATCGCGGACGCGCTCGAGCGCTCGCGCGATGTCCACCGTGGGTCTCCACGTCGCGCGCGCGTCCACGGCGTCGAGCGCGCTGCGTGGGAACGGGACCACGGGACGGGGGCGCGGGACGGGGGGGCGGGCGCGCGCGCGCGCGGGCGCGGGGTCGTTCGGCGCGTACGGTGGGTTCGTCGATGGGAATAAGCTCCACGATGGCTTGCGGCGGGGTGACGGACGCGCTCGGAGCAGGACGTTCGGGGAGACGGTGACGCGGGCGACGACGACGGCGACGCGCGGGGCGCGGGCGACGAAGACGATGATGCCGATCGGCGTTCCCCGAGTGCCGTATAAGACCCCGAACGAGAGCTCGTGGCAGTGGGTGGATATTTGGAACTGTTTGTACCGCGAGCGGATCATTTGGATCGGGCAGACGATCGACGAGGAGCTCGGGAACCAACTCGTGGCGACGATGCTCTTCTTGGATAGCGTGGACAGGAACAAGCCGATGTATCTGTACATCAACAGCGAGGGGGGACAGATCGTCCCGACGATGGCGATCATGGACACGATGAAACACTTAAAGGCGGAGGTCGGGACGGTCGGGTTCGGGAGCGCTCGAGCGATGGGGGGTTTACTCCTGGCGAGCGGGAAGAAGGGCAAGCGCGCGGCGCTGCCGAACACGTGCATCATGCTTCATCACCCCTCCGGCGTCGCTCGCGGGAGCGCATCGGACGTTCAAAACGAAGGGAAGGAACTCATGCGCATCCGCTCTCAGATCAACAAAAAAATCTCCGACATCACCGGCCGTCCCGTGGACGTCGTGAGCGAGGAGATTCGCCGAGACAAGCATTTCACCCCCGAGCAAGCGCTCGAGTACGGAATCATCGACAAAATCTTATATCGACCTCGAGGTCCGCGCTAGTCCGAGCACATCGATCACGCGCGTTGTCATCGACGTTTACGTAGCCACGCGCCGTCGTCGTCGCGTCGTCGCCGTCCATCACCAGCGCTCCCCGGGTATGCGTCACGTCACCCAAAACACGTGACGTCGGCGCATCGTGCCCACACATCGCGCGCGACCGACTTCCGCGTCGCTCGCTCGCGCGCGCACCGCATCGCGCGACAGAGACGCGGGAAAGACAATCGCGCACCGCACCGCTCGCACGCCGCGCGCGAGGGATCGTCCACGCGTCGACGGCGCGTCGTCCACGCGCGAGGCGTCGATCGCGACGTCGACGGTCGAACCGCGCGTGCCGTCGACGCGCCGCGCTCGAGCGCGCGCGCGCGTCGTTTGAGGCGTCGAGCGACGCGTGTGACGTGGTCGTGATGACGAGCGAGATGGCGCGCGCGATGGCCGGGCGCGAGACCACGGGGGCGGGCGCCGCGGGGCGGCGCGCGGGTCGTCGGGACGGCGGCGCGGCGGCGCGTGGACGCCGCGGCGCGCGCGCGCGTGCGGACGCGCGACCGGTGAGATGATGACGGTGTTTGGTTCGGTGTGTCGTCGTGGGGGACGCATGGGCGACGCGCGCGCGGTGGCGCGGGCGGTGGCGCCGGACGTCGCGGGGGATAAGTACCCCAGGAGCGGGCGAAGCGCGGGGACGTCGTTCGATGAACTCGATCCGGAGCATAACACCCACTTCGGGTCGAGCGATGAGGGCAAGGGGTACGATATCACGCAGATTACGGCGCCGGTGAACGCGGACATGGAGCAGATGCGCATGAACCTGCGGGATATCATCGGGCGGAAGAACCCGTTGCTGCTGGCGGCGGCGGATCAAATCTTCGGCGCCGGAGGGAAGCGTTTGCGTCCGGTGTTGGTGTTCCTCGTCGCGCGCGCGACGGCGATTAAGATGAACATGAGCGATATTACGGATAGACAGAGGCGATTGGCGGAGATCACGGAGATGATTCACACCGCGTCGCTCGTGCACGACGACGTGTTGGACGACTGCGACACGCGTCGCGGTAAGGAGACCATCCACACCTTGTACGGCGCGCGCGTGGCGATTTTGGCGGGCGATTTCTTGTTTGCGCAATCTTCTTGGTTTTTGGCGAATTTGGACAACTTGGAGGTGATCAAACTCATCTCTCAGGTCATCGCGGATTTCGCGGACGGCGAAATCTCTCAAGCTGGCGCCCTGTTCAACTGCGACATCACGCTGGACGAGTACATGGAGAAGAGCCACAACAAGACGGCGTCTCTGATCGCGGCGTCGTGCAAGTCAGCGAGCGTTTTTAGTGAATGCGAGGAATCGGTTAAGATCGATATGTACGAATATGGGAAACATCTCGGGTTGGCGTTCCAAGTCGTGGATGATATTTTGGACTTCACGCAGTCTGAGGAACAGTTGGGTAAACCGCAAGGGCAAGACTTGGCGAGCGGGAACCTCACTGCACCGACGATTTTCGCACTCAAGCGAGTTCCAGAGCTGCGTGGATTGATCGAGAATCAGTTTGAGAAGGAAGGAGACCTTCAACGCGCCATCGATATCGTCAACGAGCACGGCATCGCCGAGGCGAGAAAGTTGGCAAAGAGAGAGGGTGACATCGCCCTGGCGTCTCTCAGGCAGCTGCCTGATAGCGATGCCAAGCGATCCTTGGTGGGCATGGTGGGATACGTTCTTGAGCGAATCTATTGAGCCCGCTACTGTGCGCGCCTCGCAGTTACATCAGAACTACACTTCTAGCTAAACAGACTTTCAACGAAACACACGCTGTCAACGCACTCTTCTCACGCGAACGAGCCATCCTTCGCAAATACCTCGTCATCACGTTTCGCGTCTTCCAATGAACGCACGTATCCACCCGTGATACCGCGAGAGATGCGGTAGAGCAACGAATATGAAGGCGCCCCGTCGTCCACGATGACATCCCGAGTCGTCTCTGTCGGTTCATACGTGCGCGGGTACGCCTTTGGTTCATCGAGTTTTTCTCTCGGTATGTGTCTAGCGTACGGCAATCCTGGACGACAACGATCGTACGCGTGTAAGAGGGATTCAAACGTCCGCTCCCAGGTCAGACCGACCGTGCTTTCCACAGCGGCTTGAGACATCCTCTTCGCGAGCGTTTTATCCTTCATCAATCGCTTCAGTGCGTGGACGTAATTTGAGACGTCTCTTGGAATCACCGCCGTGTGCTTGACAATGATGCCACTAACCCCGTCTTGTACGATCGCTCGATTGACGCCGACGTCGTCCGTGACCACGGGCAGACCCGATGCCATGGCTTCGATGAGATTGTTTGGGATCACCTCCGTCTTGGAGGGGAAAAAGAATATGTCACCCGCCGCGTACGTCTTCGCAAGGTTCGCACCGCCTTTGTGTCCCAAGATGACCACATTGCTGTACTGCGACAACGTGCCGCGGACCCATCCCAAATCGGGCCCATCGCCCGCGATGACGACGCGGAACTTAGGCAAGTCGGGTTCCTTCGCCGCTGCTCTATTCAAGGCTTTTACGGTGTTCATGAAGCTCTGTAGTCCTTTCTCGCGCACGATGCGAGCGACCCAAAGAATGATGATTTCATCATCGTCGGCACCGAACATTTCTTTCCTGTACTTTGAGTCTCGCATCTTCGGACTGTAGAGCGTCTGGTTCACTCCGCGCGGGAAGAATCCCATCCTCTCTCCGGGGACTCCCAACTTCCGCAAATGCGCGGCGGCCGCGTACGTGGGCACTGCGACGACGTCACACTTGCCATAGAAATCCTTCAACAGATGTTCGATGGGATGTGACAGCACGGACGCGTGATAGTACTGCATGTACGTGTCGAAAGCGGTGTGGTACGAGCACACCGAACATACTCCGACTTCTGCGGCCCAGTGCACCGCGCTGTGGCCGAGCATATCCGGAGCCGCGACGTGTACGACGTGCGGTCTGTACGCGCTAAGAACGACCCGTTGCTGTGCTCGTAACGGGGGCGCGAATTTGTACTCCGGACGACCTGGAACCTCGATCGCGGGTACGGGTGCCACGAGTTCGTGAATGTCGTCGTCTACGTTTGCCCGCAAGTAGTCCTGCTCCGCGAGATCCGGTGACATGACGAGCACGCTCGTATCACCGCGTCCTCGAAGATACTCAGAAAACCGTTTCATCGTACGACTAACACCGTCGACATGCTCCCATACGGTAGTCACGATGGCGATGCGCCGAATCGACGAATTCCCGTTGTCCGCCAACGTGTCGTCGCAAGATAAAGATGGACACGTTTTCGTGGTCATCTTGTGATTCGCGCGCTCCAGGCTCGAAGCTAATTCTGTCAGTGCGACGTTCGCATCCTTTAACCCGCACGCTTCGTACGACTCGGCCAAGCCGCGTAAGCGATCCTCTGTTCCCGCGGTCCACTGAAAGTGCTGCACCGCAACCGGCACCGGGAAGACGCGTTTCTGAGCCACCGTTAGAGGCTTTGGCCTGGCGAAGTCGTCGATCGCGAAGTCGTGCAGTGATCGAACGTCACGAATCGCAAATTTCAGTTTGTGCGCGATGACCATGCGCTCATGATGCGGCGCCGTGCCGCGCGGAGGCTTTCTTCGCAAATCACACTCTGGCCCGACTTGACACTTCTTGGGAAACTGCTTGTGCAGAGACTGCCCGTTTGCCTCCGTCAACGATCCGTCAGAGGTGACGCGATCGATCCAGATCCCGTTCACGACTTCGTACCCCAGCTCGTCCGCCTGCGCGAGGAACAGAGGAATGCTATGTCCCTCGCTCCCCAAGTCTTCCCTCGGCGGCACCGTGAGATGCTCGTCCAAATCCGCAAGAATAACCCAGTCCTCCTCGTCCAACTTCCCCCCGTCGAGATGCCGCTGCCAAAATGTTGACAGCTCGCTGTGCAAGAGCTTCGAACCGACGTACACGTCGTACGTCACCCCTCGCTCGATCAACAATGCCTCGAGCACCTTCGCGTTCGATTCCTCCTTGCCGAGCCTGTCGTGTACCACCACGAACACGTTCTTCGCCGGAATCTTCCCAAAATCCAAGTAATGCGTCAAAAACGCCTCCAAAGACGCCTTCGCGTCCGCCGCATCCGCGTTCACCCCCGTCAACACCGCCGTCTTCGCCGCTCCGGGCCACGAAAACAGACTCTTCCCGCTCCGCACCCGCGTCGGCCGAAACCGTCGCACGACCCCCTTGAACCCCCCAACCTCCGCATCCAACGCTCCACACGACAACATCATCGCCCCCGACCCTAATTCACCCTCCACGACCCCGACATCCTCCACCCGCCGCGCCTCGAGCGGGACGCGATCCATCCGTCCCGGTCGCATCGCGTGTCTCCGCCGCCACCCCCCCCACACGCTCACCGCACCGACACCACACAGCGCGAGCGCGAGCATCACCCCCCGCACCCCCCGCGCGCTCCGTCGCGCGCGCCGTCGTCCACGAACACACTGCGCGTTCGACCGCAACGACTCCTTGGCGCGTTCAAAGTGCTTCATCATCTTACTCCGCCACAGCGCTCGCCCGCCCGCGCTCGCGCTCCACGGGACGTGCGGGGAGGTATCACCGCGCCCGAGCGTGCCCTGGGCGCTCGCGAGCGCCCCCCAGGGCTCGGTCGAAGGGGCGAACATCGCGCGCGGGCGTCTGCGGTGTGGCGGCGGTGGATAGTGCCATCAATCCTCGTATTTAACACTATCGCACGCGCGTTCGCACGCAGAACCACGCGCGCGCGGGCGCGTTCGCGGCGACGGGCGCGCGGGCGGGCGCGCGGGCGGGCGCGTCCGTCGTCGACGGACGCGCTTCGCGCGCGGGCGACCGCGGGGGACGATTTGATTGATTTCGTGATCGATTTCGTGATTGATTTTGAAACGATTTTGACATCGATTGCGACATGTTCTTTCGCGCCCTCGGACGGGTGTTTCGCGCCGTGCGAGGACCGTTTCATCGACCGCTCGAACCGCTCTTGTGGCTCGCCTCGGTCGTGAGCGCGCGACGGGTGTGGTCGGGGACGGAGACGCTGGAGCGCGCGGCGGCGCGCGCGCGGATGGATGCGCGCTTGGCGAAGATGCATCCGGCGAGACGGGCGCTGCCGTTGATCGCCGTCTTAGCGCAGTGGAAAGCGGATGGGGCGCGGTGGCAGGTGGTGCCGGCGTACATCGGTACCGGGCTGTGCATGACGGTGAGCGCGGCGGGGAGTCGGTTGCCGTTGTGGGTGCGGCGGTGCGCGGCGTTCGGCGGGGGGGCGACGACGGCGGTGAGCGTCGCGAGCGGGATCTTGATCCCGGTGTTTCGAATGCCCAAGCCCACGGGGCCGTATAAGGTTGGGAAACGAACGCTGGAGTGGACGGATAAGTCGAGGAAGAGTTGGTTGTTGAAGTCGAAGGGACGGGGGTCGTTTCCGGAACATAGGAAATTAATGGCGAACGTGTGGTACCCGGCGTGCGAGGATGGGTTGAAGGGGTTGAAGCACGTGAAGCAGGCGAACTGGCTCGAGCCAAAGCTCGCACGTTCGCTCGCGATCAGCTTCTTTGCCCCGGGATGGTGCGTGAATTACTTTAGACTGGTGCGCATGGAGGCGTACGAGGACGCGCCCGTGGCGAGTGGAAAGTTCCCGGTGATAATGTTTTCACACTCCTTCTCGGGGATGAAGGAGCAGAACAGCGCGCTGTTGCAAGAGCTCGCGAGTTGGGGATACATCGTCGTCACCGTGGATCATCCGCACGACGCAGCGTTGGTGCTGTACCCCGACGGGTCGACGGCTGATTTCAGAGGATACGACATGCCGAACGACAAGGTTCCGTTCGACTGGTGGAAATTTAGAAACACGCACCTACGCTGGCGCGCACTGGACGTTCTCCACGCCCTGGACCAGGCGATCGCGATGAATGATGACGAGGAGAATGATTTCTACGGTCGGTTCGATGTAACACGCGTTGCGGCGATCGGTCACTCGTTCGGCGGCGCCGCGGTGGGCATGTTGTCACAGATGGATCCTCGAATTAAGTGCGTGATCATGCTCGACCCTTGGATGTGGCCCTTCGGGTACGAGCGCATGATGCAAGGGCTCCCGTGTCCGCTTCTCGCGTTCGAGGCGCCCAGATTTCTGGGTAACCGTGACATTTTTTGCGTATCAAACTCGGAGATGATTTCCACGCTGTGCGCGAGAACGGCGCCCGCGGCGTGCTCGAAAGAGGTCGAGCCGAAACGTTTGTTCGACATTTTGGAGCGCGTCGATGAGAGTTCATCGGAGTCCGAGCTCAACAAGGAAGCGCGTGAGGCGAGCGAATCGACCGAGGACGACAAGCGTCGCGAGGGCCGCGACGCCGAGCGAACGTCCGTGGACGGTCGTCCGCCGTCTCCTGGACGTCCTCCGCGTCATCCGCGGCGTTCGAACGGAGCCGATTCGAATGATGGTATGCAGTTCACGAAGGGTATGGGTCTGGCGGCGAGCAGAAATAGTAGTTGGGGGTCGTTCATGTCAGCGGACGAGATGCGCGATCCGAGCGGAGTGGCGTTCAAGGCGGTGATCGAGCAGACGATGCACTTTGATTTTACCGATCTCGCCATGGTCGCGCCGTTCACCTCGCGTCTTCTCGGTGTCGTCGCGGTTGGTGGGTACGAGATTCACGAGCTGAGCACCGCGGCGTGCTTGCGCTTTTTGCACGCATACAATCATCCGCACAACGACACGCACATTTTGAGCGCGGAGGAACTCGACGCGCAGGCGCGTGCAATCTATCCGGGGCCATGGAAGGGATGCGCGTTTGATGAGCGTGTTAAAGGCGACGCGCACGATCCGAAACGTCAATCGACACCGTTGAAGACGGTGCGCGACGAGATGATGCGCATGCCCTCGACGGGTTGGGAGAAGAAGGGCGGCATCTGTAGGTGGGTTCCCACGAATGAGTTCACGCTTGATCCCGAACGGCCGTGGACGGACGAACAAAATCGTGAGGTTCGTTGGTTGTGCGCTGAGACGGAAGACAAGGGCGTGCAACTGTCGGATAGAGACTTGCACTGCATGTTCCCGACGCGAACGCCGATGAGCACTCGTGGGGCTATCAAGGCGTATCGCGAGTGCGACGACGTTTTCCCGGAACCAGAGAAGTTGGCGTGGCTATCGCAAGCGCTCCTCGATGGAGACGCGTCGGAGTCGATGCCTAATTACGATGCGCTTAGGCCGTGAGAAAGCGGAGGAATGAATGGTAGTAGAAAATGACGACAAGCACGAAAGGTTAACGGTACCGTAACAGAACTGTTATGTTCCATGACAATGCGGAAATATTACCTCCGCCGTTACTTGTTCTCCGTCGTCACGGTGGGAAGGTCCAATTGGAACCAGTGATCCTCGAGCGGAGACTGCCCCGTCTGATTGTAATACCAAGCCGCGATTCTGGACGCGAGCCTCTTCTTCTTTATCACCTTTTTTGCCTGGAAATCTTCGTCCGGGTCACCTGGAAATCCGCCGCCGTCGACGACAAGATCCGCCGCCCGTCGATACCAAGGCAAACGCCTCGCCATGATCTCCCTAAACCCCTTGCTCGCGCTTAAATCTGGCCTGTTCACGTCCCCCTCGATCCTCTGTACCAGATACTCCACGTCTCGATCCAAGAAAACGATCAAACCGTTGTTCTGCTTCAACGCCGCGACTTTGCGCTCGCTATACATCTCCTCGTCGTTCTCATCGAGATCCGTCACCACGCCCCCCCCGGCGTCGATCAGAGTCCACCCATCGAACGCTCGTCCCGCTTTCACGCACACTTCGTACTCCAAATCCCGGAAATATCGCCAACCGTGTCGCGCGACGATGTCCGGTATCGCCATTCCAGCCTCGTACACGATGAGGTCATCCAGTGAAAACAGTTTAAATCGCTTATCGCTCGCCGCCAAGCGTCTGCACACGCTCGATTTCCCGCACCCGCGTCCACCGATGACGATCAGGTTCGCCGCGCGCGCGACGTCGCCGCCGAAGAGGTCGTTCGCGTCATCGACCTCGACCGCTCTCGAGCGCACGTCTCGCGCTCCGACCGCGCGCGCGACGCGCCGTTCGATCGCGCGACGCGTCGGTGCCGTCGCGTCACGCGCGGGGGCGCCGTGAAGCTTGCGGACGGGCGTCGACATCGCGCGCGCGCGGCGAAGTGGCGTTAAAGTTTGAAAACCAAAACGCCCGCGACGACGCGCGACACTTCTACGCGCCCGCGCGCCTCGCGCGATGGTGTCCACGCGCGGTGGAGCCACGACAAACCCCGAGGATGTGCTCGACGACGCTCGAAGCGCGCCGCGGAGGACGAACGCGACGACGAGAGGACGAAACGTTGACGAATTCTCAACGAGTGGCGGCGGCGAGGAAACGTCGAGCGACGCTCGAGCGAGCGATGACGACGGCGAACGCGCGAGCGATGAGGATTCGGACGATCGTGATGCCACCGAGGAGAGCGACGATGATTCGGCGAGCGATGCGGTGGAGGACGCGTTGGCGAAGAGGATTCGCGCGTCGGCGGAGAAGCGCGCGAGCGGGACGCGCGCGGAGGAGGAGGACGCGACGGACGACGGGAGCGACGATGCATCAGAGTCAGCTGAGGATGATGATAATTCAGATTCAAAGTCCGATTCGGACGCTTCGGCGTCGGCGTCGGCGTCGGCTTCGGATTCGGATTCGGATTCGAACGCTAAAGAGGAAGACCTTTGGCGACGCGCGGACGACCCGGTGCTGAACGACGTCATGGTGTATTACCTCGCGCAGTCGATGCACGCGGAGTGCGAGCTGGAGGAGTATCGGCAAAGGGTGTCCGACCCGAACTTTGAACCCACGAAGGAGGATTACGAGTTCGTGGACGCGATGCGAAAGGCGGTGGTGAAGACGTACATGCTCCCGTTGCCGACGCTCGAGAGCGAGGCCAAGGCGCAGCAGGAACGCTTGCGCAAGGAGGCGGGTGGGATCGACGGCGCGCTCCCGCGCGAGCGAGCCGATGTGTTGGACGCGATGCCGACCGACGGTTGGAATCGCGAGCGAAAGAAGGAGCGGGTCAAGATGAAAGCAAACGACCCCTCGGCGCAGGGTAAGGCGTATGAGACGCGCAAGTTGATCGAGGAAGGCGCCGGGCTCTTCGTCGCGCCCATGGATCAGACCAAGGTTCGACGAGAGATGAAGAAGATGGAGCGAAAGACCGCGGGTAAGGGTTGGTTCGACATGAAGGCCGTGGAGTACACGCCAGAGATGCGAAGAGAGATGCGCATGCTCAAGCTTCGCGGCGCGTACGACCCGAAGCGCTTCTACAAAAACGCCGACACCACGCGACTTCCCACGCACTTCCAGATCGGTACCGTCATCGGTGGCGCCGCGGACTGGCATTCCGCGCGTTTGGCCAAGCGAGACCAAAAGCAAACGCTCGCAGAGGAAATTCTGGCCGACAAGGACATCGAGCGCGTGCGCCGAAACCGCTTCGCCAAGATTCAGGAGAAAAACGCAGGTAACATGGGACGCAAGGCCAAGCGAAGACTCGGCGGTCGCGACCGCGGGAAATCCAAACGTCCGAAAATTTAACGTCCATCTCCGACGGTTGTAAAACATCGAAACGACATCAACACGACGAACCGACTCTCGGTAGACGCGCGCCCGCGCCCGCGCCCGCAGGCGTCGTCCCTCGCACGCCGCCGCTCCGCACTTTTCGACGCCTTGACATGGGCGCCAAAACGTCTAAACCCGCCGATGGCGAAAACGACGTCATCCCACCGTGTGAGGGCGGACGAGCCGCGTACGAGCGCGCGCGATCGAGCGAGAACACAGACACAAGTACCTGCCCGGTGCCAGAGGAGTACAGAGGAAACCTGGGAACGTACAACGTGTACAACACGAAAGTCTCCGATCGAGCGGGAAGTGCTCCGTCCAAGGCGCAGGAAAAGAAGTCTTCGTGGTTCGGGTTCGGGGCGAGCGCGCTGGACCCGCGAAACAACATGCCGAGCGAGCCAAATCAGCGGCGCGCTCCGGGACAGCGGGAAAAACTGAGCGTAAACCGCGAGCCGAGCACGATCCCGAAAAGCGGGAGCGACGGTGGGGTGTGGACGTACCCGTCGCCGCAGATGTTCTACAACGCGCTCGTGCGAAAGAATAAGGCGGATGACGTGGAGGAGAGCGACATGGAGAGCGTGGTCATGGTGCACAACGCGATGAACGAGGATACGTGGAGACGCGTCGCGCAGTGGGAAAAGTTGCACGAGTACACCAAGGGTCGACCGATGTTATTGAGGTTTCGCGGGCGCCCGGACGAGCTCTCACCGCTCGCGTTGGCGCGGCTGATGTTTGGCGGCGCGCGTCCGTTCGACAGGCACGACTGGTACGTCGACCGCGAGGGACGTGAGGTGCGATACGTCATCGATTATTACTTCAACGAAGAGAAAGCGGGAACGAGCGAGCAATTCGACGTCGTCGTTCGCCCGGCGTTGGACACGCCCGAGGCGCTGTTGGATCGGGTGAAGATGTCGATTTACGTCGCGTGCGCCAGACTCGGACTTCCGTGCCCGATAAGTGGACACGGAGGCACGATCGACGTCGATCCGTGAGCCCTCATCGCTTCGTCGCGTTATTCTGCACGCGCGGACGAACGATTATATTCACGCGTCGTCGATACCGACGACGCTCTTTAATATTCATTGAAATCTTGCGCGCCGCGTTCGTCGACGTCCCTTCCCGCGTCCGCGACCACGGACCGAGCGTTCATCGTCATTTTTACCACAAACCGAACGGGCCCTTCTTATTCTTCCTCGCCTCTTCCTGTCGCGCCTTGGCCTCCGCCTTCTTTCTCGCGATCTCCGCCTGGAACTCCCGGTACTTCTCCGCCGTCACCTCTTCCTCCCCATCCTTGATGAACGTCCCGAGCAACCCCTGCTTAATGCTCAGCTCGCCCTCTCTGAGCGCACGCGCGTTCGACGCGCCGTCGGTCGCGCCGTCGGCGGTCCCGCGCGTGGTCCACGCGTCGATCCATCGCTGGGCATCTTTCGCGTTTTCCTCCGCGTTGGACGCGCGCGGGACGATCGCCCGCCGCGCCTCGCGCGTCGTTCGTCGCCCCGTCCCGCGCGTCGCGCCTCGCGCGCGCGTCGTCGCGCTCGGTCGCGCGCTCGCGAGCATGGTCGTCGTCGTCGTCGTCGTCGTCGTCGATGTGCCGGTGGTTGGATACGTTTGAAGATTTTTGTCCTCTCGGAGGGGGTCGATTGGTGAGTCACGACTGGTGCACTCTATCCACACGCCGGTGCCAAATCGCCTTCGCGCGCCGCCGACCGTAGCGCCGACGGGGCGCCCCGCTCGCGAACGTACGACGGAAGGAAGGAAGACAGTAATGAAGGAAGGAAAGGACGAATGAATCAAAGTACGGTACTATCGGTACGGCGGTTGGAGAAGGTGATGTATAACAACAGTTGAACGGTGTTCTGACCACCTTCTGACGCTCGCGGCTCGGACGGTACCGACGTTCGGTAAGGTATCCCGTACCGTACGCCAGCCCCCTTGCTGATGCAAAATTGGCCACCACGGCAGGTAAGTTCTTGTCTACCGCCCGGTGGGCTTCTTGTATTCTTGTATGGCCAAGAACAGGGTCACAAAAAATACAAACCACGCGTGTACCAAGTCAGGGGTTTATAATGTTGTCCTTCCTGTTGGAGCAAGTGCCAACATGTGTTTGCCTGCTCTCCGAAACTTACACAACCTTTTTTAATACGACACATCCATCTCACCGCATCGAAGGACTTGCCACATCCACCGCTAACCAAGTAAAACAACTGAAATCCGTTTTTGCGTTGAAGGAGCGGTTTATACCTGCGCAATAACTGTTCGTCAGCTACGTCGCCTTGAAGTCTATGCCAGCAACCGTTCGACTGTCTCCCAACTGCGGTACATTTACTATTTGCCTTACACCAGTCAACTTCTGGACTCCAGTCATGACTACAACTGCCACCGGAAAGATAACTGTACAAGGATGGAGGTGGTGGTGGAGACGGTGGTGGTGGAGACGGTGGTGGTGGAGACGGTGGTGGTGGAGACGGTGGTGGTGGAGATGGTGGAGACGGTGGTGGTGGAGACGGTGGTGGTGGAGATGGTGGAGGTGGTTGGAAGGACTTTGATGCGTGCGCTTCTTCCTGCAACGCTTTGATGTCCGCTGGGACAGGATGCGGAGCTGATTTTGTGAACTGGCACGCGAGATTACACGCATCGATAGGCGTATCTTGAGGCTTTGTGCACGCACTCACTAACTTCTCCACGAGGTAGTTTCCATCAGTGCTGTGAGCCGCATTGATGATTGGCTGGAAGTCAATCAGAGTCACCACCGGTTCCATACCGGCTGGTGTTTCGATTGTAGGAAGAGGCTTGACGGCGACTTGCGCCGCCAAGACAGTCTTCGGAATTTGCAAATAAGCCCCTGTGCCCAATTGGCTACGACGACACTCATTCTTCGTTTCATATTTGTAATCCCAGTCGGTCCACATTGCGGTAAGCGTTTCGGGTCCTGCATGACACGTCGCGTTACCTTCCTGTACGTGAGCAAACATGTCTAGCCCAATGTAGACATCCTGTCGCGCTTGAATATCAGGTCCTGCGCACACTGCACCGGCGCAAAGCGCGACGTATGCGCTGATAATCTCAGACACTACGCCGATTTGCATGCCAGCAACGGCATACCCGTCCAGTGGGCTTGTGATGTCTATCTGTGGCGAACCAAAATTGACAGAAGTTGCGCCTGTGTCGCTTCCGAGTGATACAGTGATGGGAAATGCAATGGAAACTTCGAACTCAAACGAGCCTTCCACTTCCGCGCGGAAGTAGTACGGCAGACGAACATCCAATTCAACGGAAACTGCTGCGAACAGACCAGGAGCTATCGGCATGATCAAGTCCTGTGAAATAGTATCTTTCTTTCCAACGAACTCGCTGAGTATTTCTCCCTCACGAAACAAAATGTGCGACACGTCGACACCGAACGACAAACCGTACTCCAGCGTGCTGGTTGCTCGGATTTTCATGTGTTTCATTTGATGCAACGCTGAGGTGAGATCATCTCGGAATGCTTCAAATACGTCTTCAAATGTGTTACCACCGAGGGCTGCCTCGCCGCGTACTTTTGCCGATGCGACACCCAGTTGACTCGTGACCGAAGGTTTGAATCCGTCTGCACCCGTGTTGAAAATTTCATGCAAAACGACAAGTTCTTGATAAAACGTTGTTTCTGTCTCCTTTAGCTGCACATGTAGCTCAGCTTGAAGTTCGCGCATAGTGTTCGCCTCTTCGCCAAGAAGTTTTCGTCCCGTGATTTGCTCCCCCATGTCCTTAATGCTTTGAACGACTCCTTTTACTCCAGAAGCGTCGTAAATCGCATCGAACATAGCGTCGAACATTTTCAAGAAGACTTCAATCAATTTCACAGCCACCTCGTGGGGAACATCGAATTCATGGAGTTTTTGACATAATGCAACGTGCAGCGCCGGAAATTTCACGCGAAAAGCATTTGGTGCGTTCGTGTCATTCGCAAACTTTTCCGGCCAAGGCATATCAGGGCTCGGACTTTCGTAGTCACTGAACACTTGAAATGGAATTTTGTGACAGTAACCAGACTCGGCACCAAGCGAAGCGACATCGGGGGACGTAGAAATACCGCGCGTTCCAGAAATACTCGACTTTTCAACAAGATCCTTGCCTTCAAATGCTCTCTTAACATTATTGCGAAGATGAGCGAGAAGTTCAGCTCGATCCGCGCTTTGAACACCGCGCGCGCTTCCAAGAGCGGCGGTGGCGGAGAACCCATCCGTAGCATCCGCGAACGTCTTCTGAATCATGTCGAGCAGCCCACTCGCGTCGACGTTCAACCATGGATCCCAGATCAATCCGACGAGCGACCTTAATTTATTAGCGAGATCGTCCGCAATATCAGGCAAGCTTTCGAGCGAGTCGATGACGTCGCAAAACGACACTCCGTTCACCTGTGGCAATCCAAGTTGCAGATTGATATCGTCGTTGGGTAAGTCGACGTCCACCGTGTCCCCGCCCACACATCCCACATACTTTACGCACTTCTTTGGCAGTTTCACGCGGATCTTTTTCCCGTACACGTCGTGAAGACGCGCCTTCACCGTCACCGCGCTCGCGGGACATCCCACCGCGGGAAACGCCAACGCGCCCCCGAGCGCGCCCGCGCCCGCGTCTCCGACCGCCGCGCCCGCGCCCGCGTCTCCCGCCCCCACCCTCGCGCCCGTCGTCGACGCCAAAGCCGCGCGCGAGGCCACAGTCGCGCGCCACACCACCGCCGCGCTCAACACCACCGCCGCGCTCAACACCACCGCCGCGCGCGCCGCCGCGCCACCGCCGCGCGCGCGCCGCGTCGTCGTCCCCGACGTCGCGCGCGCGACGACCGCGCCGTCGTCCGCCGCCGCCGCCGCGCGCGCCGTCGCCCCGTACGTCATCGCCCGTCCGTCGACGGCGACGCGGTGCGCCGATCGCCGAACCGTCGCCGTCGCCGTGTCGATCGCGTCGGCGTCGGCGATTCGCGAGAGATGGACGTCACGCGCGCGCGATACGGGGGCGCGAGCCATCGCGCGATGTGGCGAGGCGAAACTAAACCCTAACACCCACGCGTCGTGCGACCGGCACCGCGAATGCGTGGCGTCCCCGATCGCGCGCCGCGCGTCGCGGCGAACGCGACACCGCGCCGCGGTCGTCGAGCGCGCGCGATCGGGGACGTCGCGGTGGGCGCCCGCTCGACGGCGCGCGTCGCGCGCGGGTGACGATCGACGGGTGACGGGCGATCGGGACATGGGATGCGCGGCGTCGACGGGACGCGTCGAGGGCGTCGAGGGCGTCGAGGGCGTCGAGGACGGCGTCCCGCGCGCGCTCGCGCTCGTGAAAAGAGGCTCGAGCGCGCACGCGCGCGCGCTGGGGGCGTGCGAGGGCGATGCGGCGGTGATGACGCGGCGACGGAGTGAATTTTGGGACACGGCGAGCGCGTACGGAGGCGACGCGAACGTGTGGATGACGTTGCGGGCGTGCGCGGATGAGGTGCTCGTGGGTGAAAACGCGAGGGAGGGGTTGATGGCGTGCGGTGTGGTGCGATGCGACGCGGCGTTGGCGTGCGCGTACGACGCGCTCGGGAGAAAGTATGAGATTCCAGAGTTTGCGAGAATCTCTCGCGCGGGCGCGGGGTGAGCGCGGTCGTTCGCCGCGCGTTGAGGGTTTTTAGTGGAACGCGTTCTTTGTACTCGCTACGTGTTGTGATTTACTTGATGTGATTTACTTTACACTGTGTTACGAAATGTGGAAACGCGCCGTCGTCGCCGCCGGGACGCGCGCGCGCACGTTAAAATTATACTAAGTTTTCTAGGAAGAGCTCGGGCTCGGATACCCTGAGCCAGACGCACAGACGGTTACACATCGCCACGGCGACGGTGACGGTGGCGCTCGGCTTAAAGGTGAGATAAATCTCAAAGTCACCGCCGACGCACGCGAGGACGGAGTCACGCTTTCGACGCTCGTACCGCACGCGCTGCGCCGAGTGCTCCATCGGAGGTTTCGTCGTCGCGTCCACGGTTCCGTCCAACTCTGTCATATTCTCGTACATCATCGCGTACGCGCGCGTGATCGTCTCAACGGATCGATCGTCGCTCACGGACGACGCGAACGCCGAAGAGACGTGCTGTTGTCGCGCCGGACGGTTGTACACAAAGTGTAACAGCGGTTCGTCGTGCTCGACTTGGTACCTGCCGAGAACATCTTCGGGGACGTCCGAGACGCGTAACTGTCGACGCGCCGCGCGTGCGATCGTCGTAAGCGTGTCGTCGGCGTTTAATCGCTTCTCCAACGCGTCTCGCGCCGCGCGACACTCCTCGAGAGCTTCCGCGGATGCCGTCAGAAAACACACACCGACGCGCTCGCGCGACGTCGACGAGGACGCGACAGCGTCATTCTTCTCTTCGTCGCCCTCTCTTGCTTCCGTGTCTCCACTTTTCGCCTCTATGTACGACACGTATGCGTGCATGAACCCATCCGGATTGAACTCGGGGAGGCACACGCGCCCAAACGACTCGGCGTGAGTGGCGTCGCCCTCATCCTCACCCTCTTTCTTCGATTCCGCCGAGCGCGACGTCGCGCGCGCGTAATTCATCAACACCATCACGTCTCTCGCCGAGATCGTCTGCGGTCGATGTCCCCTGGGTTTGACGTACGTCACCAATCGACTGTCACCGATCCCGAACGCGACGCCGGCGAACGGTTTCGTCACCAATCGAAGTGCGTCACCCATCGCTCGCGTCGCCGATCGTCGCACCTCGTGACTCATCCCGACTGTTCGATACGTATCGAACACATACGCCGTATCTCTTCTCAATCCTCTCGTCGCGAGCTCGTGTAGGCGCTCGTCCGCGAGCGTCGCCGCCGCCATCGCTCTGCGAACGTCGAACCGCGAATTCTTCCCGAGAGCACCCACTAAAGCCGCGTTCGTCACGCACGACGTCATCACATCTTCAACGTACTTCAATTTCTTCCGCAACACCCCAACGCTTTCCCCCTCAGCGCTCGACGCGACGTAAATCATCGTCGACGTCGACGCGCACCCGAGCGCCCGTCCCGCGTAATCCACGCCCTCCAATTCACCACCTCCCTGCGCCTCCGCGTTCGCCGCCAGCGCCTGCACGGCCGCACACAGCGTCACGGACTCCGACGACACCCCTCGAGAGTCCCACGCCGGCTTCCCCGCCCGCGTGAGCGCCAAAAACCGCGCGTTTCTTCCGTCAGCACCGTCAACCGCCGCATCCGCACCCACGTCCGCGTCCACGTCCACGGCCGCGTCGTCGTCGCGCGAACGCATGGCGAGAAATCACCCCTCACCCCGCCGCCGCGCGCGCGCCCCGACGCCGCGCGCGTCGCGCTCTGCTCGCGCGATGTCCCACGCGCGTCGTCGCGCGCACTTTCTCGCGCGACGCCCGCGACGCGACCGCGTCGCACCGCCGCGTCCTCGCGACGCGCTCGCGACGTCACCGCGCGCGATAATTTTTTCGCCCCGCCTCCACCCGCGTCGGCGCGCGTCGACCGGTCGCGTCGTCGTCCACGCGTCGCCCATCGACATCGTCGTCGTCGACGCATTTATTTTAAATTCCCATCGACGCGACCGCACATCGCGCCGTGGACGACGACGCGAGCGATGCCTTCGACGCGGATCGCGGTGAAGTGGGGCGCGAAAACGTACGACGTCGATGTCGATCTCGACGGCACCGGCGCCGCGCTCAGGGCGACGCTGGCGTCGCTCACGGGCGTCCCGGTCGATCGCGTCAAGGTCACCGGTCTGCGCGGTGGGCGACCGCTTGCGGACGATACCGATCTCCGGACGTGCGGATTGGAGGACCTGGCGCGGCGGAATAAACGGTTGATGATGTTCGGCTCGACGGCGACGATCGAGGCGCCGGCGACGGCGGTGAAATTCGTGGAGGATCTGCCGGAGCGGGAGCGAGACGCGGCGGCGGCGGGCGACGAGTTCAGACCGGGCATGGTGAATCTGGGGAACACGTGTTACGCGAACAGTGTGTTGCAATGCCTGCGCGCGTGCGCTGGGTTGCGGGAGACCGTGGCGGGGTGGACGGCGGAGGACGGCGGGCGAGGGCGAGGGACGGCGGCGTTGACGAGCGCGCTGAGAGACGTGTTCGGTGACGTCGAACGGGCGCGAGAGGCGGTGATGCCGGTGCGGTTTTTGAATGTGTTGAGACAGATGCATCCGCAGTTCGCGCAGCACGGACCGGGGGGGGTGCCGATGCAGCAGGACGCCGAGGAGTGTTGGAGCGCGGTGATGCACGCGCTGAGCACGGAAACTCCGGATGAGATGAAGAGGTTATTCGGGATCGGGATGCGACGAGAGTTAAAGTGTTCGGAGAGTGGTGAGACGCGGAACGAAGAATCGATCGAGTACTCGTTGAAGTGCAACATCACGATCGAGGTGAACCACGTGACGGAGGGATTTAGAATCGCTTTGAACGATACGCGCGAGTTACGATCCGAGGCGCTCGGACGAGATGCCGTGTTCGAGGGCGCATCGAAGATTTCATCCCTCCCAGAATACCTCACGACGCAACTCGTGAGGTTCTTTTACAAGGCTGACATTCGAGCCAAGGCTAAGATTTTACGAGCGGTGACGTTTCCCATCACTCTGGACGCGTACGAATTTTGCACCGACGAGCTCAAGGCGGAGCTCGATCCGGCGAGAAAGCTGAAATTGAAGCGCGAGGACGACGCCGCGACGCAACGAATGAATGAAAAGAAGGCGGCACTCGAGGGGGCGAAAGAGGAGAGTAGTGACACCGCAATGGGTGACGCCCCGGCGTCGTCCGCGGCGACGAGCGACGTGGCGCCAGTCTCAACGGCGCCCGAACCCGAGGTCGATCCTCTCGAGGGAACTCGACTCACCGGTTTCTACGATCTCATCGCCGTTCTAACTCACAAGGGTCGAAGCGCCGACAGCGGACATTACGTCTCTTGGGTCAAACACGACAACGGTTCGTGGACACAGTTTGACGACGAAAAGCAGATTCCCACCACTGAGGAAGAGGTGCTCAAGCTCAAGGGCGGCGGCGATCACCACATGTCCTACATCTTGTGTTACAAAGCTCGAAAAATTTAATGAAGCATTCTTTTGTTCGTCGGTACTACTTGTTCTTCCAAACCTTTCGCCCACGCTGCTGCTTTCCGTTGATTTTCGGCGCGTTGCGTCTACGCGTCGCGGCGTGTATGCGAGCCGCGAGTGGAAGGTTCTTCCTCTTTGATTTCTCTGCATTGCTCGAACCACCGGTTTTCTTTTGCTTCCGCACCGTCGACGACCCGTATTCGTTGTCCTCGCGACCGGCGAGGACGGTGGCGAGACGTGCCGCCTTGTCGTGCGCTCTCTTGATGCCCGTGGCGGCGAGCGCGTCGGGATTCACGCGACGATCGGTCGCGCGATCGGCCCGGCGCATCATCAACCTGATATTATCACTCGCCACCGTTGCCGACTTGTTCGCGCCCGCTCGCTTGAGCGCGGCATCGAGCTGTTTCTCGGTTTGAAGCGCCTTGATGCGCTTGAAATCCTCCGAGGTGAGAATACGCTCCTGCTCAATGGGACCTCCGAGTTCTTCTTCCTCTTCCTCACGCTCGGCGCGAGCCTCTTCTTCTTCCTCTTCTTTTCGCTTCTGCACGAGAGCCTTGTGACGTCTCTTGAGTTCAGAGAGCGAGAGCTTTCCGTTCTTACGAATCTTTGGTGGCGGAGCGTCGGGATCGATTTCAATGTCCTCCCTCTCGCGCTTCCCAGTCTCAAACTCATCTTCTTCTTCTTCTTCTTCTTCTTCTTCTTCTTCTTCTTCTTCTTCTTCTTCTTCTTCTTCTTCTTCTTCTTCTTCTTCTTCGTCCTCTTCGTCGTTCTCTTCGTCGTCATCCTCCGAGTACGCCTCCTCCTCCTCTTCGCGTTTGCGTTTCAGCAAGTCGCGTTGGAGCAAATCGACACCCTCGATACGATCGACAACTTCGGTCTCACCGTACGCCTTGAGCGTGCGCGACATATCGACGCCCTTGCCACGATCCTTCTTTTCGAGGAGACCCGGTGCGAGCTCTCGAAACAACGCGATGAGTCCTCTCGCAGCGTTGGAAACCGGCTTATCCTTGGCCTTTTTATATTGCGCCAAATCTTGGAGCAAATCCTCATTCATGACGAGCGGGCATCGCGCGCAGATTTCGCGCACGGCGTTCAAGCCGACGGCCGCGACTTCCGGTCGAGCACGATCGTGAATGAATTGATTGACGAGTTGACGCAACAACGGCTCCAGCGCGTCTGGCGGCACGAGCTCGTGGCACGCCGTCGCGGCGGCGGCGAGAAGTCGCGTCACCTACGACGGAAGAGCGTTCTTCGGTTAGTATCGAGCTTGCGAAATCACCAGCGCGCGCGTAGATGCGTGCTCGCGTCAGGTACTAAGCGGAGGCTTGGTATGGGTCACGTTTGGAATCCCCTTAGCCTTGAGTTTTTGTCATCCACCGCGAGTCGTGTAACGGTACGTGTTTTCGAGCGAGCGGCGAGCGCGTAACGTACCTCCAGCTGACTCGGTTGAATGTATCGCTGCAAGAACGGGTAGACGTTCAGCATGATGAGCTGATGCATACCGATGATGCGACACATCATCATGATGCACAACATCTTTGTGTCGTACGACATGTGCCCGATTTGAAGTTTGTGAAACAAGAGCTCCGCGAGCGCCTGCGGGTCGTTGATGAGCTGAAGAGCGGCAAACCTAGCGTCCACGGCATTCTCAGCGTTTCTCTCCTTTCGCTGCATACTCTTGATCGTTCGCTTCAATTTCTTTTGCTTTTTCTTCTTTGAAGACGCGACGCCCTGCGGTGACGTGAAGAAGACGGATCAGTCTCTGTGACGTTCGAGCGCGTCGGATCGAGAAAAAAATAAGTAAGCGCGAAACAAAAAGCCTCAGCGATCTTGGTGATTGAGTGTCGTCACCGTCGAACCTCGAGAGTAGCAAATATATTTGAACATCCTCGGCTCTGTTTGCGTGGAAAAATAAACGCGTCTCGGCGAGAAAATATACGCACCGTTTTGTAAGCCTTGAAAACGTCCGTCTTGGACACCCCACCCGAGGTACGACACTTAATATCGTTTTCACGCGCCGCCGGATCGCTCTCCGAATCGCTCTCGTCGCCCTCCGCCGCCGCGGCCTCGGCGGCTTCGTCTTGACCCTCGAAGAATTTCAACGCCGCGACGAGAATTTTCTGCGACGGATGCTTGCACGCCTCCACCACGAGATTCACCGATTTCGCATCCGTCCAAATATTCCTCCTATACATGTCCGTCAGCACCGCCAGCGCCTTCTTCGCCGTCGTCTCGTTCTCATCCTTGATGGCGGCGTACAAAAACGACTGCACCGTTCGATTATACTTATCATTCGTCCTCTTCTTATTCGCCGCCTTGGCGTCGCTCACGATGTGCTTGAACATCATCACCCGCAACGACTTATCCTTCACCCGAAACAGCTTGAAGAACAACGGCAGCGTCACCTCGACCCCGATCGAGCCCTTATTCCTCATCAAAATCAACGCGCTCACCAGCGCCCGTCGCGTCGACGCGTCCAAGCCTCCCGCGTGTCGCTCCAACAGATCCACCACCCCCTCCGCGAACCCACGCGTGAGCTCTGGATACACCCCACTCACGTGCGAGATGAAGCTCACGAGCTCACCGAACTCGGCGTGCTCCCTCGACGGTTTCATCGCGAAGAGCGCGCGCAGGGCCTCGTACCGCCGCGTCTGCATCGCCGCCTCCTCCCCGTACCCCTCCGGGTCGCGTTTACACCGATCGCGCAGCGTCAACAGGTCCATCGCCGCCTTGGACATCGCGCGCGCGCGCGCGACGGCGCTCTACGCGCGTCACGACGCGCGTCGGTCGATTCGCGCCGCCGCCACCACCGTCGTCGCGTCTTCACGCCCTCGCTCGCCGCGCGCGCGTCCGTTCGCCCGCCCGCGGCGTCGCGCGCGCGCGACGCGTCCTCA